GGAAGTCTGCGTGATTGACGGGGTCAGTGGTGGTGTGCTGTCAGATGAAGTCTTACTCTAGTGGCGGTTAAACCACTCTGACTTCATCGACTGCAAAAACTGGCTTGAGTCAGTCGATGGCTGCCGTCTCTTGCTTGCGGTAACCTATTTCTCCGCTCAGCTAGTCACTGGAAAAGGTCCTTCATACGGATCCTGCAATTTTTTTCTAAGCCCATTGATCCAGACAAAGACAAACATGCAGGGAGTCAGTTGTTTATCCGGCTATTCTCGACAGTTTTTAGTACTAGGTGGTGTAGGCTGTAATGGTGGCATGAGTTGAGCGGGTTGTTCACAAAACGTAGAAGTATCAGCTTCGGATGAGTTCTGCGGTTTTACTAACTATCCTGGCAAGAGTAGGGTCGTTTGATGTACCAGCTGAGCTAGGAAACATCTTAGGACTTCCTTTATAGTGGATCGAATTCCAAGCAGGAAGAGCGGAAGAAACTCAGTCCATATAATACTGTCATTTAGTGCCATCAGCGAACTTTGTAGCTGTCAGTGAAATTTCTCCACCAGACCATTAGCTGCTGAATGGTTTACTGTAGTTCGTATGTGATGCACTCCAGGGATTCAAGTGAACCCTTGGAATAACCTCGACTGGAATCGTGAGCCTCCATCCGAATTGAGCGCAGTGAGTACACCGAAGTTTGAAACCCAGGGATCATGGAAAGCGGAGGCAGTTTTCCCAGCTGAAATATCACTCATTGGACGGGCAATGGCCTACCCGATGAAACGATCGGCTGCCATTAGTATATGGGTGAGTCCCCTCGATGCTGGGAGGAGTCCTATAATATCTATGTGGACGTTTCCGAAACGTCTGTCAGGCGATTGGGACACGTGGTAGTTGTATATCGGTGCACTTTAGAACGTCGACACTGCCGGCATTCTCGTTCCCACCTTCTAATATCTGAGTTCATCTTGAGTCACACAAAATGCTGGCTGATCAGTCTAACCGTGGCCCCTACATCTAGATGAGGTAGAGAGTGTAAGTGTTAAAACACAGCTATTCGGTACCCAAAAGGAACGAAAGGACAATGCATGCCCGCAGTCACATTACGTGGGATGGCAGCGTCGGGTATTGAGACGTCTTTGAGAATGAGAGTTGACTTTGTTTGGTACTACAGGGGACTGCGATCGTTTTACTGTAACATCGCCATATTTTTGACCTTGGTGTCTGACTGTTGTGTCAGGGGGTTCCAGTCGATTCGAGATGAAGAATCTGCAACGACGTTAGCGTTACCCTTGACGAACTGAATATTTGTTGAAAACTGTGCGGCGTAGTCCAGTTGTCCTACTTCTCTCGGCAAATGCCTACCTGATGACGATAATAATAATAATATTTGCTCGTGAATTCATCATCGTGCACATTATTTTCTACTATATGTTCATCACATTTAGTGGCGAAAAATTCTTGGTAGTGTAGTTTACCATCTTTTCTTCATCACAGGTAGTGGTAGTCCAAAGACTAAAAGAGGGAAGATTTCACACCACATAAAATTGATCCACATCAAGTTACATGCTGGATTTTTGTGTATGGAACGCATAATATAATGGTTGATGGTCAGTGAGGACGGTAAAGTCACGATCTTGTGCGGGATAATTAAGGTGTTCAACAGAGGTCTGGATGAATGAGAGTGCCCTCCCAAGTGCGCTGCATCTTGCTTAAGATGGCTCAAGCTTCTTCGAAAAGAAAGAAAGTGGAAGTATTTCATTGTCAGGTTGCTGTCCTAGGACAGCTCTTACTGCAGACTGGGAGGCGCCTGTACAGGGGATCAGGCGTGCTTCTGGGTTAGGACTCAAATGTGACACCATCACTACTCGTGATAATGCTGCTTTGACGTTCCGTAAAGCTTGGTCTGCGCTGTCGGTGAAACAAAACCTCATTGGCTGCCCCCAGGCAAAGCCGTCAGGGGCTGTAGAATTGAGGCTGACTGTGGGATGAATCTTTGACAACAGTTGAATATACCGAAGAAACGTCGAGGTTTGTTTGCTGAACCCGGTTCGCTGTATTGTAAGGGTCGTCGGTCTTGCCGTTAAGGGGTTTTGTACCACGAGCATCCGTGTAACGTCGCAAAAACTCTAACGATGCTACTCTTAAGGTACGCCAGCACCCACTGGGATTAGTGACCACCCCTTATTGTTGAAAAAGGTCTAACTAGATAGCAAGATGTCGGAAATGTTCCTCCTGGGAAGCACTTGCTACCAGGGCGTCATCGATGCGAACAAAATTGAAATTGTGACCTTGAATAGATGATCCATGATCCGCTGAAACAATTTTGCTGCGTTTTAAAGCCTAAATCTCACCCTTAGAAACTCACATGACCCAAAAGTAGTTATCATTGCCGTTCTCCGATGTCCTCCGGTGTAACAGGTGTTTGGTGGTGTGCACGGATTGAGTCCGCCTTTCAGAGTATCTTTTCCCACGCAGGATGATGGAAAAATTGTGATGGCGTGGTATGGGCCGGCGATTAGGAACGGTTTCATTCCTCATAGCCCGATGGTCGCCACATGGACGCCAATCATGATCTTTATTTGGCACCATGAGCAGCGGCAAGGCCCAAGTGCTGTTGAGAGGCTGTATCACGTGTTCAAATCCAGCTTTGGCAGCGGTTAACTTATCAGGCGATAGGCGTTGGCCCCGTGTGCGGACAGGCCGGCCTTTGATGACTATATCATGCACTGTGGCGTGGCGTACTTCCTTGGTGTGACAGTTGGATTTCACCAAGCTGGGGAAGTTTTGGAGCATGTGCATGAATCTTTTGGATGCTGGAAGGGGTCCCGATGAACGCCTTTCTGTCATCTTCAGGTTTTGCGATGCAGACGCCCTTGATGGAATGATCTGATACATTGCCCTTTACATTCAGTTTTGTGCGTCCATCAATCAGCTTCTTTTCGTTGACATCAAGCAGAGGATTTAAAGTGCTCAGAAAGTTGGTCCCTAATATAAGATGGTGCACGTTGACAACGATGAAAATCTAAGTTAATGGGAGGCGTAGACAGAGATCTAATATTGGTGATTGCTGGCCGATCGTCGGTATGCAGGTTTCTGTTGCAGCTTGAAGAGACAATTCAGTGAAGATTGTTGATGGTCGCTATGAAGCTGACAGTGGCGCAACCCTATTTTTGGCACCTGTGTCAACTAAAAATTTCGAGCCTGAAGTTTTATCCGTCACATAAAAGAGGCGACCGGAATGGTTGCCAGTAACAGCTGTCGCCATCGCTCGCTGGCTTCCAAGTTTCCGTGGTCCAAAGGTGAGCTTTCGTTGACGTTGCAGAGTCTAGCACACCGATTTGCTTCGGGCCTAACTTTCTGAGGTATCAACAAATCTCTTGTGAGGCTTTAGGGGTACGTGGTCGATGCCTTTTAGTTGAGGACCTACGCGATATAGACCTCGGGGGTCAGAAGTCTTTTGCTGTCAACGCTTCAAATTTAGACGTTGACGAAGCCACCTGTGACTCAACACTAGATGAGTTGATTGAGGTGGAGAGAAGGTTATACTGGAGACCATTTGTTGAAGTTGTCTGGACAGACTTTCGTCACTTTATCAGCCATATTAGCTAAGGTGTCTAGACCGGTAGTTGTAGCAAAGATGCTTGGTATTTGCCGAACGTTGAATGGAGGCCTCTTGAGCCATAGCTGCTTAAGGACAGCTTCATCAAATTCACGTGAACCTGCAAGGTATAAGATGCATCCTAGCGGTTAGGTGGGCTTCCTATCAAAAGCTGAGCTGATGGATGTAAAGATTTACGTGAAATCTGGAAGGTCTTTCCACCTGCAACATTATTAATCACGGCCACTTGATAACAACCCTCAAGACAGTGAGTAACTCTAATCAACTTGGAAAAGAAACACCAACGGATGGTCACCATGGTGACCATTTTCTGATCGCGACTTCATTTACCTTCCTAATAAAGAATGTCGCTACCTTAACTTCCTTCGTCAGCGCGACCGCTATTTTTCCTGGTCGTTTTCGATCTCTTATCTTTTTGACTTCAATTCTTTCCAGTGCTTTCTATAAGTTGTTTGTCATGGATATAATTCCAATGTTCAATATTGACAGTGCAAGAGTAGAAAACTGGTAGCTTTTGATCTCTCGTGTCTAGTTCTTAGGGCTGGGTTCGAGTCGTTCGGTTCGCTCCTGCAATGGACGAGGGAATCCCTTCTGCTTTGACCTTCTGTAAGGTGGAAGTTTTGTCGGTTGGTAATTTGTAATTTGTGGAGTGGCTGGGGAGCCACGGGTTGCTGGGACAGTGAGCGGACTGTCGCGACTCCCGTCTGCGCAGGTACCCGGAAGAGAACAGTTGGGTGGTGGTAAAGAGAGAAAAAATGGGGGAAAATAAAGAGGAAAAAGAAAAAGAGAGAAGAGGTGCGAAAGGGAAATGGAAGGGGGAGAAAAGTATGTTGGACTTGTCCGAGATCTAAAAATAGATAGCGTGGGTCCTTCCAACTTTTGTTATCATTTTGGCCTCTTTGTTTATCTTCTTAATCCTTTCATTTGCTTCAAAATTCCGATTCGATTTCTAGAAGCACAGTATTGCTATATTCCATTCCTACCACAGTTTCTGGATAGACCGTCTATCTCCGGAATAATTGAAACAGCGCCCAACCGTTCACCGGATGAACGAGAGCCACAAGAGGCAAGTGACTAACTCTTTAGCAAGGGCTTAAAGTAACCTCACAAGACTAAGAAGTGAGCACAAAAATATTTGTTCCTACCACCAAGCCCTGAGAACTAGACGTGAGAGATCAAAGATTATCAGTTTTCTACGCTCGCACTATCAATATTGCATACTGGAAATATAAATAGCTATTATTCAGAGATCTCAGAAATTCCCGATTTACTATATTCACTTTATTGAAGCTGTATGTAAGAAATAAGTGAAAAATGACATTCTTGAGCCTGATGAGCACAGCATTTCAAAGAAGACAACTTTCAATTACAACAACAGAGGAACAGATTTGGTGCCAAATAATGCGGGAAAGTTCGAAGTGACGTTACTTTGCCATGGATGTTGATTTGTACGCTTACTTTGGCTTGGATGACGATTGCACGCCGAAAGATGTGCAACGCGCATACAAAAAGAAAGCTAGAGAGGCTCATCCAGATAAAAACAAGGATAATCCGTTGGCAAGTATGGTATTACTAGTACTAATGTTTCACTCCAGAGGAAAGTTTCCAACAGTTACGTGTCTACTTCGAAATATTACATGACCCAGTCAAAAAAGTAAGACTACGACGGTTTCGCGCTTTTAAATATCCATGATGATACCGTGAAAATGCATTCATTTATTCACCAACTATGTACAACCACTGCTACCCATAAATGGTCTTATACGGGTTTCTATCTAGATTTTACTGCCCATTTTGTGTAGATAAATTTCCTTATGGCATCCTTACCGTGAGATACGTATTCCGAGGTGGTGCTGCCATTTCATTTTTACGTAATGGTTGTAGTATGTAGTATGTTAACAACTAGAGCCAGGCGTTGTGCACTTGAGTTAGTAGCTTTTTCCCCCTCTGGTAAGTCCTATGTGCTTGGTTGCGGTTGATTGTAACGACAGCAATGAAATTAAAGCTATTTGCCGTTTAATTACTGTTTTAGGGTATTAAAACGAGATATTTCTGTTAGGGCATTTCCCTATTGGTTACAGGTCTTTGATTCTACAGCTGACCTATTAGTCTCTCAAACTTTGTTACTCCTTTGAATAGTGTTTTCGAATACTTATTGTGTTTATGGTTGAGGTGTACAAATTAATCGACAAAGTTTGACTTTATTTTAGACTTTCGTTTGTAGCAATCACATGACACTTGGTCGGGTATAAGATACAGGAGGAATGACGTTAAAAGTTGATTGAAGTAGTTCAGGTTTGTTCACCATGCTACTATAAATAAAGAATGACTCCTTGCTTCGTGATTTTGACTCTTTGTTTCGGTCAGTTTAATTTATTGACAGTTTTATAAATGTTTTCCTCTTTAATAATCCTAAGTATAATACTATACATGAAACCCTAAAGGATGCATCAGTATCCCAGGTTTTGTGTTTGTCTGCAAGTTATTTGATGGGCGTCATTGCATACGTTGATATCGGTGACATAAGCTATCTAGTTTGCTGTAGTCATTTAGTGCGACTGTAAAACAATTTATACGTTCGTAACTTACGTAAAACCACGCATCTAGTGTGACATCTAATGCTTTTACATGGATGCCCAAACTCTAGCGGGTAGTGTTAGATACGCAACTCACTGACCAGAATTTCAGGCTAATGATCTGTAGCACATATGCTTTCTCAGCATCTGGTTGCCGATAACGTGGTCTTTTGAAACAACTCTAGTTGAGTGTCATCTATCTCTTGGTATATTTTGGAGGAGGTATCGGTCTTCCCATTCTGCATGTATCTTAGTCCAATTTATATTCTAGTGTCATTCTCATGGTTCAAATGACTGGTTTAAAAATGAAATTGTATTTACTCATCACTTTCTGTTAGCTACGCTTATGGGGTTTTCTTTTTTAGTTTTGTCCCCTATCCAACTCCTGTTTTAACGAAAAAGTAGCTCCTCTATTTATTATGATGCATCATTGCATTAGGATGTACTTAGTTCTTGCTAGTTGAAGTATTTAGCCAGTACTTCTACAGTTTCTTATGCCATATTTTTTATTGCTTGTTTCCATCTAGTTGAAACATTCCTGTTGATGAAAAAGGAGTCTTTTATATTTGTTATGCACCAATAGCAGTTTATGCAGAATGATAGTGTAAAGATCGATTAGTCTGCCAGAAATGATACAATATAACGCTGTGACTGAGTCATTGATTGGAAACTAGGCAGTGAGTAAGAGCATTGATAGATTTACCATGTAGCATCTTATCCTTCAACCAAATAAAACCGCTACTGATATACATCAAAAAGAAACTAAAAGATAATGTAGACAAAATGTGTAGTTTTAAAATGTAAGAGTGAAGATCACTGGGTAACTTGGGGCTTCTTACCAATGTATGTAATGCTGCCTTCATACCATGTCAGTTGGTTTAGTAGGTAAGTCAGTGTAATGTAGAAACTTCATACTCAGTGAATAGAATTTACGGGTAGTGCTTAGCTGTTCGTTTTAAGGCCGATGGAGTAGTTTTATACCCATACCAGATCCCTCCAAAGCTGAACACGTGAACCAACTACTTTTTTTAAGAGGAATAATTACTGGTTGGGTCACATGTTCACTGAATATAAATTAATTAGTTACTAACACTTACCGTATGCAAAAGTAAAATCACTTCAGAAAGAAGATACTCAAAAAATGAAAGGCCAACCATGTTAAAAAGTTAATAGCTATGATAAAGATGAGTCGTAATGCTGTAAAAAAGATTATGAACCTTTACTTAAGCAATAGATGTGGATGTGGTAAAATTCGATGACATACAAGGTTGGAGGGTTTTGTTCTGTTATTCTACCTATTGCTGCATGTATTAGGAGACATGAAGTCTGAAAAACGAAATGCTTGTAATGACTCATTCTTTAACCTAAAAACTCATTCTGAATTGCAGCTTTAACATAAATCTAAGATAAAGATCCCGGATAACTATTCTATCAAATTTTGTAGTAATTGGTGTATAAACTCCAGGAATTTCAGTGGAATTGCTGATATATGCATTGCCGACTGCTCTTTATATTCGGGAATTACCTGTATAAGGTACCTAAGAATTTTCTGAAACACTGTATTTATGTCTAATATCTAGGTTGTCGTATGTGACAGTCAATGAATAAACGGGGCGACTAAGTTTACAAACGAGTGCGGACAAAGTATTAACTGAAAATTGTTTACGCAGTAGTTTTAATAGATTCATGAAAGTAGATCGATGGATGTAAACCACTTGATTTCACCAGCTACCCGAGAGAATATGATTTTATTTCGTTTAATCAGCAATGAACAATCATATCCTACTTCTATCTGTATAAGAAAAATCTATACGCGCAGAAAGTTGTAGGTAAAGTTTTATGGCACCGCACATATTTCGTTTCTGAATGTACGTTAAAATTGTCTAATTTACGTGTTGCACATATTGCTTTGTTGTCATAAGAGATGGATCATTTTTAATGAAGCATTCAAAATAGCTTATTAGTACCAGCCAGTAATGAGATGATTTTCGTTGCGTAGTCTCTGAATATTTCCGACTCAAAAATAGTTTTTGCAGTCCAACTTGATGTAATATATATCCCGTAGACATCGTTTGCAAATTATAGTAATTTCTGTATTATATTTAACCTCATATATATATATATATATATATATATATATATATATATATATATATATATATAAAAGGTTCTTAGAATGTGGATTTTAACTCTTCAGTTTGTAGTTGTAAGCTGTTCCAGATTTCTTGTGATTCGCATTTTATCACTTCTTTTACAATTTTATAGAAAGAATATGACCGAAAGTGGAAGGCCAAGAAGGAGGTTGCCAAGAGGATGGAGGCTATGGATTCTTCTAGGAGAAAACTTAAAGAAGGTAGGTTTTTGAATGCACAGTATTGTAACGTTCTCAACTTCATCAGATTGTTCACCTACATACAAGTCACATTAGCTAGGTATCATTATCATTTTCTTTTAAGTGTTTAAATGCTCAATGATACTGTTGAAATATGTATTTATCATGCAATTAAGGTGATTAGGCGTTTTACATTGCGTACACTGATTCTTTCGGGATATTTGATCACTTTCGAAAAACTTTTGAAAAGCGTAGAAATTATAGTATTATGAAGAAAAGAGAGATGGAGAATACCAAAATGGTTGGTAAAAGAAAAAGTCAAAAAATTTACATTTATTGAGCACTCATTAAAAGTAGTGAATCCAATTAAACAACAACGTAATCCCCATCAGTGTCAATACTGAGTCTTATCTAATATTCTTTTGTAGATTCGGCTAAATTTACAAATCATCGTATTTTCGATAGTTGTCTTGGAAATGAAATCGCCGCAAATTATTTACGTTTACATGTTTAATTTCCAAAGGACAGAGTTAAAGTGAATCTAATGTCTCACATGAAGACCCTGACTATTCTGATCCATATGGGGAGATGTAGACTGCCTGGTTGGAGTCCTCGAGACGATTGAAATCAGTGGTTGAGGACTCTTGATAAAATGGCTGAAAATTGATCCTTGACATCTAAAGCTTGAGTATTCGTATTAATCTTTCTCTTGAGATTGTTTGTTCTCTCGCGCAATGTTTTCTACTTTTATGTCATTCTTTTTCTATCCACCTGTTTGTATACTACCGTGAACTGTGACAAATTGGACCGATGCACTTGTGTGTGAGGTTCCATGTTGGTTTTGTCTATCTCTCAGATATTTTGTCGAATCACTGAGCTTTGTCACGTCAGAGACACCGCAAAATAAGTCATTCACAAACGTATTCTAACTCAACTCAACTACTCTTCATCATGCGACCCCACACCGTAAAGTGACTTACTTTTTTCAAACCAGTGTCAGAGTTCGTGAAAGCTACTGAAACTGTTTGCGTAAAATGTGTTCAGGTCAGAGTCCAGTACTCATACACATTTCAGTTAGCAAAACTCAAAACGTTTATCATATATTTAACTAGATTTTGGTTTAGGTTACTGACTTTGTTTTTTACTGCAGTATTTTTGATAATAGAGGTTGGATGACCTGTTTATATTTGTTATTCACAATTAGTTGCTTATTGTTAAGTCTCTCGACTCTTCTACTACTTTTGTGGATAGGGTTGTCCAATCCTGTTTCCGTCTAGGCGGTCAACTGAAAGCACATTCTTTCAAATTCAAAGTATACTTAGTTCCTATCTGATAATTAGACGTAGATTAATATTCTTACGATAAGCATCTTGATACCATAACTTTTTACCCCAATCGCTCTATAGTTGCACTTTGAAACACTCCTACAGGTGGTTTAGTTATATCAATACCGAAGTAGAGAAGCTGAGCCAATCGGAGAGGCATCTGCGGGGTATCTACAAAACCCTATGCCAACGAAGCGACAACGGTGATCGTCTGTTACAGTTTTTGTCCGGCAGTCACTTGTTTTTGGCCAGCACTAACTGTAGGCATACGGAGAGACAGTCTCACATGACCCCTCTCTCGACATGTAACCACACTAGGGGTGACGTAATCACAAGAGAGTTTTTGGTAGACCTAGACCCAGATCATATAGTCCTGTTATTTGAAGACACTGATAAGATGCAGAGTCTTCTAAACACTTTGAATGGCAATTTGAGAATGTTTGGGATCAATTTCTCGCCATCCAAATGCAAATTGTTGCTCCAGGACTAGCCTTGAGTGCGGTGCCCCGGCTAACATTAGAGAGCGAAGTGGCTGAGTGCATTGAACTCATCACTTACCTGGGAGGTAAGGTCAGCCCTAGTGACCCAGTGGCCGATGAAATCTGTGAACGGATACAGAAGAGTCAGTTGATTTTTGTCAGCTTATGTCATTTGTGGCTCCGCCGCGATATCTGATTGTCTACTAAGCGTCGAGTATACTGAGCTGCAGTCCCCCCTGTTCTACTGTATGGCTGTGGGACATAGCCATTAAAGGCAGAAGACATGAGAAGGCTCCAGGTGTTTGACCATCGTTGTCTTCTTAGCATAGCCTGTGTTTCGTGGTGTCACCACGGGAGTAATGCAGAAGTCGAACGTAGAGTTTTAGGGAGGAGAGAAAAGACAGTTCATGTAGTCGTGAACCTTCATGGACTGAGATGGCTTTGTCATGTGTTACGTCTAACCACTGTCTGCCTCGCAGCACAATGTTGACCGGAGTAGGTTCAGGCTGGAAAAGATTCGGGTTGGTCAGACTGAAACATGGCATCAATGAAGTCTTTGACTGTTTATTTGAGCCATGTATGGAGGCGATGCAGACTAACCGGTTGAGGTCTTCGGGACGAGAAACCAGTGGTTGGAGACTGACTCTAGGTGGTATGGCTCGGAACCGATGTCAGTGGCGCAGATGCATACACACATTATCCTAATCTCAACTATCATACTTAATCTCATCCTTTTCTCATTCTTCCCCTTCCTCTCTTTTACTACTTTCTACTTTTGATTGATTTTCCTTTTATCCTTCCTCTTCCATTTCATTGCCTTGTTACTTGATGTGCTGATGTGAGACGCGGCAACTTGATCTGTTACGTAGTAATGTCTGGTCCTATGTTGATTTTGCTGCTGGCGTCCGACGATTTCAAACCAACTATGGACACAGATAGATCACATTGCTATAAGCCATCGTTGTAGAGGGTCGGTGCAGGATTACAGCTCTTTCCAGAGTACCTGTTTGGACTCCGATCACACACTAGTACGCGCTCGTATATGTCTGCGCCTTACTGACCTCAGAAAACAGGCGGAAGTGAAACTTGTCTATGGTCGATTGGAAGATGACAAACACCAAGTCCAAATTTAAGGAAGCGACAGTTAAGCATTCATCTAAACGTGACGGCAGTGCTCATCCTAAAGAAACCTGATGTAATAGTAAGTCTGCTGTAAAACAGTGGTAAAGATAATTCGTAACCCACACATGAAGGCTAGCAAACGTCGTAGGGTTTCCGCGAACCCACCGTAAAATCGATGGATTGGGGACGGGGAAGCCCCCACGCAGCTATTAAGGAATGTCATACATGCAAAAGGACGGGAGCTAGAAAACGGTACACGTACGTGTATGCCTACTCGCATTTATATATATATATATATAGCAGAGCGAGAATACCACCAAGGAATTCCTTTGATAGCGCCTCTATTCAGTGATCGTTTGGCACTTTATAGCTCTGGCGGACCTCTTCCTCTGTTAAGAGAGAACAAGGAGCCTGGCTTCCCAGATCTTGGTGAGGCAGCTGGTAGACGCTTCTCCCTAGAGGAAAGTGGGCATCCCCGCTACTGGACTGAATCAGAGGCTAAGCTTGGCGACCGGTTTATTTCATATTATACTCCGTCCCGACGGTACACACGACACAAGACCATACGCCCTATGTCAGAAACGGGAACTCTCATCTGTAAAGACCCGGCTCTCAGCTCGCAAATAAGGATTGGACACCCCTTACACTCCCTAGAGGAGTCTGCCCTGTCGCATAGGCGTTGGGAACCCACCTCCACACCTTGAGCTGCCCCGATCTGACGGTCAGGGGTTTGGGGAATGTCCTGCCATCTGTCCGAGACGACCGGCGGACTGTCATCCATAGGGACAGAAGTAACTCCCTCCTCACTGGATTCAGTTAGAGGCAAAACCCGGTGAATCCGATTTCCAGCCAAATGTTCCAACTTCGACTTATCTGATCCCGACTTCCAGTAATATCGAACAAGGTTTCGATACAGCACACAGCCCTCCTGAGAGAGAGTGCACCACTGGGACGGTAACTTAATCAGAAAACTTATCCAATTATTTCAAAAGCTGCTCCCGATATTCTGTCATTTAGAGGTAACGGGCATTCTTAGTGGACCGGGTGACCACATTGCGGACTACCCCGACCACCAAGTGTACTAGGAACTTCTTCCAATGTGGTGGACGTCTCTCAAGTGATCTGTACCAGTTGGTGGTTCTTATCGCCTGGAGAACTAAGTCATTAGTGACGTATGTGGGTATCAGTCGCGTCGCCGAGTTTACCGGCCGATACTGTTCTCTTAAGGGTACCGTCCTCCCCCAGTTATTTTATATTTCCCCGTAACCAGAGCATGGTCAGCTTGTACCCGATATACCCAGATATATACCCCGGATCGCCTGCCATGATCAACCTGAAATGGTCAATGAGGTTTGGCTCTCGCATTCCTAGTCGGATTTAGAACAGGAAATTTGCTCGGGAGGGGGGGGGCATGCTTATATCCTACAGGCCTCTTTCAATCTCGCATGTATCGTGAGATACATACTATCCCGGCACTCACTTACCCGTTAGACAGCATAAGACCATAAGACGAGCCATGAGTTCACAGACAGGCTAGGTACCCCAGAAAGGTCTATATTATAAACATCTGAAATACGGACTAATGGTCTCATTTATTCAAAAGGGATATAGCCCTCCGGGGAGGCGACAGGCATACCCTATCAACCTCATACGTCACATGCGTCATGAGACACATTACCCCGCCACCCTGTGGAAAGCAAGTATTAGTTCGCGCTGCCATGCTTCACAGCAGTATGCTAAGAAAGGGTAAGTAGAAAATGCATGACAAAAATAGGCGAAATACATGAGAGTGGAAAATAAACATCTATTGGTTAGTGGGAATGTTCGCTAATGATAAGGGACTTACACACCTACGTCATCGATTCCTATCCTTTTGGCAACCCTAAGCGGGCAGTCCACATCTCCCTACACATCCCAAACTAACAGTCAGACACTTTGTAGTTTGGTGCCGTGTCTTGATCCGACCAACCCGAGCCTTCTATCCCATTCCTACTGACATTGCATGCTGAACTAGGTGGTGGCTCGGCAACTCAGTGAAGATTCACAATCTCATCGACTGACTTGTCTTTCGCACCTAAGACTTTACGCCCTGACTCGACGTCGCTCATATGTACGCAACGGCAGGAAAATGACTTTGGCCAAAAACATCTTCCCTCCACATCCGCTTTTAAGGGTCGTTGCTCAGTCGTACAATAGGACAGCAGTGCAGTGTATTCGTTCTTCAATTGGTAGTCAAGTATCTTGCCAGCATCGTAATTTGGCGAATGCCAAACAAGCCTTTCGTATCCAAGTTGTCATTTCTTCACAAGAATATGTCTCCCTATAAACTGGAGTGACCAGGTATCTAGATCAGTCTAACAGGACTAACATCTCAGCTAATCTACTCAGTGATTTCCTACTTCCATCCTTAGAGACTTCTGGTGACAAACCGTCGGATATTGATGCTTCTCTCAGTTTCATTTTTGAAACGGAAGAGTTGACGGATCAACATCTATGCCCCATATAGATTCGGACTGAAGAGTGATCGTAGAACGGTTGGACTGTTTTTAAAAGTTTTGGCCCTGACTTTCTAGCTCTCTATCATGAGTGTTATAATGGATCGAGAAAACTCAAATACAGGTTTTAGATAAGCATTATTATTTTATTTACTTCAAAAGGTATTTTACACAGTACTCATAGTATTGTATAGCTCAACTATCTGTCTCCTAAATACACACGACGTTCTTAACTCAACAAACACATACTGCCTTAACTGCTATTTGCTTCTGGCATCTATTAAGGTGGAAACATACACATTCTCTTACTAACTCATGACTAGAGTCCAAGAAAGAACTTCAAAAAGATAAGATGTCTTCCACCGATGACTCACAGCAGTATGACCTGTATGCACCGAATTTGATATCGGTGGACACCACTTGAGATAATGTCTCTCCTTATGTGTACCTGAAGTCAATACTCCTCAAAAACAAGTGGTTGTCCAGATAAAATTCTAAGGGACGATCACTGTTGTTTTTTGATCGACATGGAATTCTACGATTACCCGCAAGGTGTCTTTCAACTGACCCAGCTCTCCTACGTCACCCTTTAAGCCACCTGCTAAAGTAACTAAAATTCTGCCTTATTTAGCAAACATGATAGCTTTTGGTAGAACTCATGCTTTTTATTTACTGAACTGCAGTCAGTTGAATCGTAGGTTTAGACTACGGATAAGCAACGACTTATTTCACGGTCTTTTGTAGTTCTTACAGATGCATTCAGCTGAACAACAAGAAGTGCTATTTTCGCTCTTAAACTAAATGCAATACCTACAAGAACGAGTTCACAAGATCTATCTGTTGGATCTTCGAACACTCGTAAAGTGAATTCTGCAGACTTACCACATTGGCTAGGTATTGTCAAATGAATGACCATTCTAAGATACTAAATGGGCATCTCAGAAACATGATTCAAGATTCCATGGCTTTAAGAAATGAATCCTGTTATCCTACCTAACATGGGGTTCAGATATGAAAAACTGCAATGTGGTTTTAAGAGACTAGGAAGGTTGTTTTGCTGGCCTCAATGGTCAATGATTGCAGTACGAAAGGTTGAGGAAGTTGTAAGGAGCTAAATGTTGGTTTCGCGAGGTGATTGGTTTTTATATACTACTGGAAACGTGCGGTTCGTTGGCACTTCCCGACTGCCTACACCTTAGATGTTTCTGCAAAGTAACTAAAATAGAGAAAAAATAATTTACATGACCACAGAGCCCTAAGTTTATCTGCTTGAGGCTGGTCACATATGGCCTTTTTAAGGGTTTTGGATTGACATTTGGTTGCGCTACCACCAGAGAGGGGAAAGTTATACCGCTGGCACCGGAAAACTGCGAGACAGAAAGGAGTGTGCTATTTTTGTGGCCGACATTTTCTGACCTCCCATTTCCAGTAATCCGCCGTAAAAACCTCACTGCTATCACTTCCCGTACAGTCAGCAGTAAGACTTCTACCAGAAACCTCCTCTATATTATAAACTGTTGAGACTGTAACGGTAACTATTTTTACCAGAATCCAGCAGAACTTTCCAGGATGGTAGCACCTCAAAGAACAAATGTTCCAGCTGGTGTATTTCGCCAGCTCACTACCATCACCAAATCAAGATAGCAGCCGTTCGTCCAGACTAGTAACTAGCGCTTTTGCCTAAAGCAATGAAATATCTGTACAAACGGAAAGATTTTGTATTGTTTGCCTAGCCAAACCGCATTGATGCTGTTTTGAATAAGGCTTTTTAATTAGTCTTTATAAGCTAACAACTACTTATTTTCATAATACACTAATATTTCCTATAATTTTGATTAACTCAATCATTTACATATTGAAAACGTGTTAAAATTATCATACAAACATAGAGCTAGAAGCTAGAGAAGCGGCTGCCGCAGCTATGCGCAAGAAACAGTCTGAAACTACAGCTAGGCAATTAGCAGCTGACCAGATTCGCAGAGATTGGGAACGCTACACTGAAGAAATGCAATGGGAAGCTCAAAGGAAACGAAAGTATGTAGATACTGAAACTGACAATATGGAGTTTGAACCGAAAAAGTCCAATCAAGCTGTGGTCAGAGTAAGTTGTAACCTACTTTTTAAATACGATTGATAACGATCGTATATTTGCTGTGTTAATAACTAGACTTTTAGTATTCACTTGTATATTTTTGATACGCGAAATGTGATGCAAGTTAGTGAAGTCGTTTAGATAACAATGTAGCGATATTGACTTCTTAGTTTCCCATTGCAGTATATTACTACACGGGTTCATTGACTTTTAACTTTCTTCGTTGTCTTAAAATCACTAACTAAGCACAACCTCATGCAAATTTCGTAGAATTCATGCATACACTGTTTTAAACTTCCTGTTTGCATAAATACAGCAAATATTGAACGGACTAATTAAAAAGCTTGAACATTTGCATTTCATAGCCTTTCATCAGCTGCAAACAGCTTACAATTGAAATGGATTAGTAGTAGTAGTAGTGTGAGTGAGTAGTAACAACGTAATATACTTTAAACACGCAGAAATGATTGGAGATTTGAAATCCAGGATTAACAATGAGGTAGGTAGCGAATGAGTCAAGGAAACACGATTAATAGTTACATATGGCTATTTATGTCTGATGAGATGGAAAATTCTGGAACTGTGGAGTGGGGGAGGGGACAACAAACGAAAATCAGTATAAAAAAATTTTCTTTTCGACGAAGTCATTTACTAAGCTGTACATTCGTGAATATATGTTACAGTGGGTAGAATGTTCCATAATTGTTTCCGGTCAGGGGGCAAAATATATTGAATGATGAAAGGAGGTTAATTAATACACATTTGTGTTTAGAGTGGGAAAATAGACAGGGGATTATAAAATTAAATGTAATTACTTAATACAGGATGAATGTATGGCAAAGTAGGAAACTGAACGAAGGGTTATGGAGGTAAAATTGCGATTATGTAATACCGGATAAACCTATGACAGTATGAGAATAAACAGGGTATTATGAAAATGAGATAGTAATTACGTAATGCAGGTTCAATCTGATACAAAATGAATCTGCGGCAGACAGGGCTTTATGATGGCCGTGGCAAAAATAAAGGTTGAACGTACTTTTTTTGCACGCATAACGCTGGTGTGAACTTCTGGATTGCTAGTGTTTCAGCTATAGACAGATGCCTTGATCTTACTCCCTTCGAGTGGTTTGATCGAACCCTGTAGAGAATTTTGAATGAGCTCTCGAAAGGAGCTAAGTGGCTTGAGTTCACGAGGTGTTCTGTTATCGAACTGAAGATGCATTTCCGTTCTCCCTTTGCAAGCCAGGCTGGATAGTGTTCGCGGACACGTTTTACAAGCGGACGCATGGTACGGCCAATGTACTCAGCTCCACAAGAGCAAGTAAACTGGTATACATACATTGATGTGGTCCAACGCGTCGTCTTGTCTTTCACATATTGACCGAAAAGTTTCTTACAGGAGAAAATTATCCGAAGGTTGGCGGCAAAGTATGTTCTGTTTATGGATTTTGACAGTCGTTTCCTCAGGATGTCTGTATCAATATCATTTTTGAATTGAGGATCCAACAAGAGAATCTTTTTCAGCGCCAAATGTCTTTGTTCACTTGGGTTCTTTGGCTTTATGTTCTTATCTATGGAATCTGAGCAAGAACCCGTTTTCCGCTAGAGTTCGTCGAAGTATTTGCAGTTCTTCGTCAACCGTGTCCTAAGTACATATTTTCCTGATCCTCGAGGAGAGTGAATGAATAAAATTTCTTTTCCTGCATAAGGGGACTGAACTCTAAAAACAAACAAATTGTCCATTCCATGTAGGCTTTCTGTAGATCGATCTACGAAGTGAATTATCGTCTTTTCTTTGAAGTTGAACATCAAGAAAATGGAAGGTTGAGTTCGATTCTGATTCTAGAGTGAATTTGGTTGAAGGGTGGGCATTGTTGAATGCATGGAGCAGGTTTGCAAGATCCATATGTTCATCACAAAATCAGTGTAAAAAAGGGACTGTTTAAGGCCTAATAGGTTACATAATAATACGCAAAACTTGAAAGTCGTCAAGTGATTAATATTCAGCAAGTAATCAATGAAGAGATGATGCAATCAAAAGAAAAGGGAAGACTATATACATTCATGTGCAAAAAATTATATACATTTATCAAGGTAAAGAAAGGTTAATTACAATCTATTACTGAGTACATAGGTCAGGTTGAAAATGTTTGATAGTGAGAGATTCCGCAAACCGTAACAAACATGGTGTTTTTTGTTTGTTGATTATCGTGAAAGATTGAGAAACATCGATTTGATGTTCTGTGTCCATCAGATGCCTGGCGATTGCGCTATTAAACACCTTTCTACCATTTAGACACGGATTTCTTGGAATATTCTCATAAAATTGAGTAGACGCCCTTCTTTCAGTCCGTCCTATGTACTTGCTTTTACAAGCACAAGTGAACTGAATTACGCAGTTGCAGATAACGTGAGATGGGTATTTGTCTACTTCCGACTGTTTTATTGTGCATAATATATTGTAAACTGAGAACATTTTGGCAGTAGGGAAGCTTCTTTCCAGTGCAGCTTTTATTCTTCTGCCTATTCTTTCAGATGTCTCATCGCCTTTGAATGCTAAGCGAAGGGAAACAGGCTTCTTATCAACGGTTGGATGTTTCGGTCTCCTAATAAGTTCTTTCCCATGCTTCATGATGAATTTCTTCGGGTATCCATTCTCTATAAAAGCCTTCCCGATTATCCTGAATTCTTCTTCTTGCTTATCTTTAGAGCATACTTCGAAGAATGTGTGTAAGTGGTAAAAAGAGGGGTCTTTAAAAGCGCAATCGCCAGGCATCTAATGGACACAGGACATCAAATCGATGTTTCTCAATCTTTCACGATAATCAACAAACAAAAAAACACCATGTTTATTACGGTTTGCGGAAGCTCTTGCTATCAAAAATTTCCAACCTGACCTATGTACTCAGAAGGAGATTGTGAATAACCTTTCTTTACCTTGGTAAATGTATATAATTTTTTGCACATGAATGTATATAGTCTTCCCTTTTCTTTTGATTGCATCATCTCTTCATTGATTACTTGCTGAATACTAATCACTTAACGATTTTCAAGTAATTATGTAACCTATTAGGCCCTTAATAGTCCCTTTTACACTGATTTTCGTTTGTTGTCCCCCTCCACTCCACCCACACTTCCAGAATTTTTTATCTCACTAGATATAAATAGCCATAGATTTAAAATAAGATATGTAGTCATCAATCCTGTGTTCCCTTGACTCATTCACTACCTACCTTGTTGTTAATCCTGGATTTCAAATCTCCATTCATTTCTGCGTGTTTAAAGTATGTTATGTTATTATTACTACTACTACTACTACGACGACTAATTCATTTCAATTGTAGGCTGTTTGCAGCTGATGAAAAGCCATTTTATTCTGCAAATGTCTTTGTTCTTCCATTGTTCAGGCTTGTCAAGGGAACTTAATGCATAATTAACAATCATCTGAAGAGATTGATGTTTTAAAAAAAACAACTGTATTTTACTTCGTTAGTCTGCAGAAGAAAATGAAATAGGTTATAGATATTTAGAATAATCTTAACTTTGGGTTTTAAATATCCTATTGTATACGCTAAAGTTGCGCACAACTTATAAGATTGATAAATATGCATAATCAGTGAATGATTTCCGAAGAATTTCGATTTTAATAGAGGTTGGTGTTTGTTTCTTTTCCAGTCTCATTCAATAATCAATAGGAGTAGGAACAGTGCGAGTGAGGGAGTATCTTTCGTAACTCCTGTTGGATGTTTACTTATCAGAAAATGTACATTATGCTGTTAAGTGTTGGTAGTCCGCTCCATTTTTGCAGACCCACCTTACTGACGAGTGCCAACAAGCACGAAACTTTGGGTTTAGGGTTCGATACCGATTGACTGCCACTATCTAAGATTAAAATAAAGTGCACTGTAGCGTCACATCATTTAGTGACTACACTACGACACTTGATTAATGGATATCGATCAGTGCTAAACTAGACACAGCTACATCGGTTGCTCACTGGTTACCGACTCGAATACGCATTATGCTACGGAGGTGATTAAGATACATGACTTCTGTTAGTATCTTGCTTATTATTTCGAGATCTGCTTAGTGTAATGTAGGAGTAAAACTTGGACACTATGATAGCATGTGATCCCATTCAAATTGATTTATTAGATGTATCATACATACAGTGGAGTAATCTCATTTACTTGATTACGTTTCCGACACAATTTATGTTATCCATAGTCATATCAAGATAACTCCACAACTTTGAGACGTAATTTATATAGTTGTAATCTCTTCGCTTCCTTTATGATATGGGTAACAGGATTTTCTATATGTCCGATGCAGATGCTTAGTCGTTGGTTTGCTAAATAAAGACTCATTTATTAATCTCTCCCTCCATCCGGCTACATTAGTTTTTGAGGATTTTCACCCTGTTGCATTCTATTATGTAATTGCATGTATAGCTATGGCCGAGCTATTTTCTAAATTCTTTATGCCACTAGGATCTACCAATTTCAATCTAGGTAGGTTTTGTGTGCTCTGATGGCCTAATTGACCCATATATAATTTAGCTTATCAAATAACTTCCAACAATTGCAATGTCAGATATATGGGTTAAAGTAGTCGATGAAATTACCCTTTACTCTATATTAGCTGTTCTCACTTCGCCATAGTTAGAAAAACATAACTTTCCTGGAGTAAAGTTAATTTAGTAGTAATCTTTTTCTCGGATACTTTTGTAATCTTCATAGTTCTAAGTTATTAGTGTGAAAATATCTGTATTTATTTCTAAATGAACCTCATTCTAGCATGCTTTCACTTACTGTGGGTAAACGATATAGCCATTTTTATCCATTATTCAGACAAGATTGATCGGGAAAAGTAGTTAATATCCAATTCGGTAAGCTATCCTTCAGGCGTCATTTCACTCCACGATCATCGGTACAGCAAACACACATGTAATAGAGTTTTTTTAAATTTTGATATTTGTCCAACCAAATTTTTTTAGTGGTGTCTATATTTAGAGGCCCCTAAGCAATATTTTGTGAAGTCTATACTTCCGATGATGCTTCGTTGTATACGAAACATGACAATACTATAGGATTAAATGTTGTGGTTCTTTTCACAACCATATTCTTGAATATATACGACTGACAGAGTAAAGGAGAGGTTGTACTGGAAGATTAAGCTGCACTAAATTAATGACAAATATTGGCACTAACTGGTTATGATTCCAATGCCCAACTGTACATAATATTCATTAAAATCACTAATTTTATTCTCTTGGTCTCTTTTTATTAATTATTTTACTCAGATAAAATGGGCATACACAGAAAACGCTCAAGCCAATGCTTGCTATACGGAATCATTTCTTAAAACATGCTTATCAGAGGTAAAATTCTAGTTATATTGAAAATAATAAAAAAAAGTGCATTGTGTATACTCCTCTAAATAACTGCCAGAATAATATTTCACTAAATAAGGGATATAAGCTTTTCTGGATCAAAAATCATGATTCGATCATAAAAAAAAATATTGAAACAGACAAACTCTTAACCATATTTTTCGATATACTTATTGTTGTGGCATTCATCTGAAGGTTTATACAGACTTATCTAATGAATTACTGCTGTACATGGCATTTTTCATGAAGCAGTACAAAATTAGTCGTTGATTAGGAGAATGTTCACAACTCACTGCATTCCACAAACCGTAGCTAAATGAATACCAGAACACAAATATTTTGACTAGACAACTGGCTATATTTGCCACAATGAAACAAATCGTCGTTAAAACACAAAGATGCAACATGGCTGCGACGTACACAGCAATCTTCCTAAGATAAAGTTTCACTACTATCACTCATACCACTTATTGGCAAGCTTAGTGTTATCATTCACCCCACATGTTTTATAAAATTGCATCTGATCTTTGCTAATCAAGTAAGATGAAGGTTAGCAGTAGCCAATAAAGCATATGTATTGTTTGAGAGGTAATGTTACTGACTACGTGGATGTCTTTACCCTGGTGAGATGGGACGCAGTTCGAACTCGCGACCCAGTGATTGATAGTCATTTCCGTAAACCAATGAGCCATAGCCTCACTAAGTTACAATACGCTAACACTCAACTGTTTTTCATTGCTGATTAGTTCAGCCTTAAAGAGATAAATCAAGATGTCAAATTATCATTAGAAATCTCAGCATAAAATTAGCCATGCTTCTCATCTCTGTTGTTTCTAGGACTTTGACTCAATAGGTTATGAGTGCGAACTTTATTCCACTTGTCCAAGTGTGCAGGACCATGTCGCATTATCAGATCTGACATAGATATGACTCCATTACCTTGTATACGAACCTCCACATGGTTGCTAGTCACATAGCCGCAACAGGTTTGCGAGATCACCCTATGCTTTTATAAAGCTAATTTTGCAAAGTTAAAAATTGAATTTCTAGATTTTTGCTAAATTTGGTTAAACTGACATCTATTTTTCTCACCTATCACCAGTAATGCAAATAAAATATCAATCTTTACGAGATTTAAACAAGTACAATCTTTAATCATATTGAAAATGGATTCTGATATTGTTTGCTTGGGATCGGTTAGCAGTAAAATCTAGGATGAACGTTTCGTACAACTTGCGACTCGTCAGCCGCATGCACTTGCAGAGTGAGTGACAGTGTCTCCACCGGAACGTTATTCACTAGGAAATGTATTCATATCTTTTGAAACAACCTGCCATACAGGCACAGTTTCTGGAGTAGCTAAATAAAAAGCTTACTCTCTTGTGTAAAATGGAAAACTGTTATATTTTCGGAAATTTTGTTTGTAACTAACTAAATGCTCTCTTAATTTCTAACTTATAGTTTGGTGAAGTAACTGCGTTTGTATTCGGTAAACGTGGAAGTGGTATTGCTGAGTTTTCCAAGTACAAAGAAGCAGTAAGTTGGATTTAGAGAAAAGTTATTGATACTTGTTGCTAAAGTAATTATGAACGTTAATAGCATCGTCGATGACATACGATTCACTTTTTTCAGAGGTAAAAATGTGTGATGTCTCCCTGTACCTACTTATACATTGATTTCTTGGTTCAGGCGTGTCCCTTTTGAATCTCTAATATTGTAAACAGTTATATCTGGAGGTTTGATTTTAAGTTGGAATTTATCACAGAATTAATCTAGCTCTCATTAATGACTAGCTCGAGACGTGATTCCAGAAGTTTCAGTGAGAAGTCGTGACTAGTGGCATCAACCAAGTCGAACTTGAGGACAGTTACTCAACGAAAACACTGGATGCAGGTCACGCTATATCGTAAGCTGACAGAAATAAGGAATATGAAACACTTAATCCCGACCTAATAGGTCAATGATAACGTGTTGGCTACGGAACCTGAAAGTCCTGGGTTCGGTCTCTATCGGAGTCATTGGTGCGTACCACTGGGGAGTTCCATATAAGAACGAAGCAGCTGTTCAGTGCTCTCAGATTCTCAATGTTCCTCCAAGTGATGAATTTCAACCTACAATTCAAACAGTTGTTTGCTAAAACTACCGACTACGTTATCATGTTTCGATTTTCCCTGAAATAAATCTATCTAGCCGCGAGGGTTCAAAATCGATCTCAGTGATGTTGATATATTTGCTCTTTATCATCTTTAAAACTGAATGTCTTGTTGTCTCTCATCTTATAGCCTATCATTTTTATTCAGATATCTATCTCTTATTATTTCCTTTTAATATTTTCGCTGAGTGTAGTAACTTCTGCGGCTTTCCGCGTTGATTTACATTCTTTTACTGATTAATTAAAATTGTTCATTCTTATCAATAGAAGTAGTAAGTTTTTTTCCTGATGATTACCTTAATTCCCTGAAATTATTTACATAATAAAAGATGATTTGTTCCAGTGCTTCAGTTGAATTTTTATGTCTCAAGTTGATTGGTCCAAAGATTTTGAAAATCATGTTAACGGATTCATCTGTGTTTATTACGCGATAATTTCATTTCTCCTTATAAACTAGAATGATCGACATCAGTTTAAACTGACCGTCTTGTACTCTTAATCTCATTTCAGTTATTGCGACTGATGATCATAAAGCATCGTCTTCCAAATGGTCACAAATATAAGGTTTGGAACAATAGCACATCAGTGCAGCTGGCTATATGTCGTATCATTATCATGGGAATCCGTGGAGCGAAAACAGAGGGATGGGAAGAATGTTTGCAGCAGTAGTGATAATTAATAGGAAGAGAAAAAGATAATAAATTAGGATGAAAAGGTAGAACTTGGTGCATTTGTTAGAGCATAAATCTATGTTAGGTGGTTTGGTAGGTACCTAACAAAGTTGGACAGTATTGTTTACCAGATGAGGTGTCTTTGAAGTGAAGACAGTAGTAAGACAAGGTTGCCTACTATCACTGATGATCTTCCTGATTGTGGTCGACTGGACCGATGAAAAACCCTAGAAGATTTGGATTTCGCTGATGATTTATGTATAATATCGCACAAGCTCGGAGATCTACAGGCGAAAACTAACAAGTTAGCAGAAGAGACCGCGAAGACAGGACGGGAACTTCAAGTGAACGTAGACAAGGCAGAGGTGGTGAAAATGCTCAGCCAACAATAACAAGCACCATCAACGGGAGAGAGCTAAAGGAAGTAGTCTTTCACCTATCTACCTTCCTAGGCAGCATCGTTTCAACTACAGCCGGCAGAGGCACAGATGAGAACGTTAAAGCAAGTCGGGTTTTCAATAATCAGTGTGGAGATCTGTACTAAGCATAAAGCATCCGGATTTTCAACACTAATGTCAGTGCTTCTATGTGATGGTTGAGGGACTTGGTGCTTTACAAAAAGCATTTCCAACAAACTACAGACACACATCATCAACAGCTGCCGCCTACGCTCACTCGATACTGAAGATCAGATGACCAGAACAATGAAAAAAACCAACAAGTAACTCTGGCCTGGCAACGAGGCAACCAAGAACTCGTTGCCCAACAAATATACAGAAGAAGGTGGAGATGAATTGGGCATACACTGAGAAAACCATTTGGGGACATCACGCGCCAGGCCAGGTCGTCGAGCGGGACTCAGATAGGAAACGACGAGCTGGGCGTCCGAGGTGAGAGTGACGTGGAGGAGATGGTGTGAGGAAAAAAATCAAAGCTGGGTAGTTGTAGAGCCAGGTTGGAAATACTGCAGAGAAGAGAATGAAATGGAGACGTGCTACTGAAGCACAATGTTCTACAGGGAACCCAAGGGACAAATAATTATACACTTAACTGACTGATCAATAAATTGTATCTAGTGTTATGTAGATTCATATAGCCGATTGAAAGGAAGATTTATTATTTACAGAGATGCCGACGGATCATGCTTGCGTTACTTGGAGTCATCCTTAAGACTTGCTTTCTTAACTCTTCATCATTGCTAAAAACTACTACTGAGTGTTTCTCTGCCACTAGAATTAGTTAGTGAGAATGCAGACAATAAAAAATATTGTTTATAGTTAAAAAGTGGACTTAAGCTTTCAACATTTCTTTACTACCCTCATCCTATCCCAGATCGACTTTTGGGTAGAGATATCATTTGCGGCAACAGTGAGTACTGTACTCTTAAATTCAATAAATCATTACGTATTGAGAATAGAGTCTACTGTGTTATAAAGTAGTTGTTGGTCACGAAATGATGTAAATATCAAGTATAAAGGTGAATACTCCACTTGTCCAAATTAAATTATTATTTCTTGTTTCGTTACAGAAAAACGCTATAGAGGCATCAGAAAGCAGAACAGTTGGTCTTCCAAGTTTACCTTTGCATCTTTCATGGCTATCAGATAATGATACAAATACTGATAAGGAAGTAAACAATAACTCAGATAGAATGAGATATCAAGAAGCTCAGAGAAGTTCATCAATGAATGATCCAATGCCTAATAAAAAAGTACACTTGATTTTTGATTCTAGATTGATAGGTATTCTTAATCATAATCACACAGTTTTATCATAAGCAATCCTCTTATATAAACTTAAGTACTTCGTAGTTTATGGTCAGTGTTTAAAAGTAAAATATATATGTGAATTATGTAAGTAAGATGTGACTCCGTAATCAATTCAATAGTGAAGAGAATGTGAAATCCCAAAAAGGAATAAAAACTAAAATAATTTATAAATAGATCTTTCTAAATATCACTATTGTATACAGACAGGGTTTAAGTGAAACAGGTGTACTTACTTTTAGAGAAGTTATCATTGATACAATTCATGAAGACTTCCAAGTGTCTTCATCTTAATCTATAAGAAATTCCTGCATTACAGTGTTACGTCATTTTGTTATTTATCAACTTAATAATGTACACATTTTTATCCACTGAAATTGTCCCTTTACCTATTGAGTTATTTATGTTGTGCTATCTGGGGGATTTGTCTCTGACTGTTGGTTTAAGCCATGTAGGACGATGCAGACTAGGTGGTTGGGGTCCACGGGACAAGAGGAACCAGTGGTTGGAGACCCTAGGTGATATGGCTCAGAACCGATGTCAGTGGCGCAGATATATACACACATTATCTTCATCTTAACAACGCTATACCGAATCTCACCATTTTGTCACTCCTCTTTCTCTTCTTTTCGTACTTTATATTTCTTTTGACTGCACTCACTTATCTTCATCCTTCACCTCACTACCTTTTTACTTGATGTGCTGATATGAGGTGTGGCAACTCGGACCGTTACGCAGTAATGTCTGGTCGTATGTTGATAATGATGATGGGGAATTTGTTACTTTAGATTTTCGCATATCAAAGAGACTAATTAGATATGTTTTTTCTCTATAAAAAAACGTATCAAGAAAACCAACTTGCCGTCTCAGACAGACTTCATAAATAGAGAATGGTTTTCTCAATTGAAAATGTATGAATGACAAGTGTAGCAGCACTACCTTTCTGTTTTCTACGTGTTGCTGTAATACTGTAATACAACAAGACAATCACTTATGTGTGCTTAGATTGTGCTGAAACTCAATGAGACATTCACATTTAGCATTACTGAAGTATCCAGTGAAACAGTTGAAGTAGTACTATTACTATTTCATACTATCTGTTGACTCTATTTGTTCTCAAAGTCTACAAAGAACTGAATTGTATTTATCATGCAGTTAGCAGGCATAAATCATGATGTTCGCTAACTGTGAGACTTTTTTTTTTACAACAATGGGAGTATCCCTGGTAATAACTTATTTGAAGGGAATACTGACATAGATATGTTAATTCTAGAGCAGTTTTGTTACGCTAAATGAGTACTTGACTTAATTAGTAGTCATTAAATGAATGCTAGAATTTTTGAAATATATAGGTTCGGTGTCACTATAAAATAGGATTTCGCCGCAATCTGAAAATACGCGGATAATTTCTCGTATCATGAGGTTCTCCGCAACAAACAAGTTAATATTTATAATTCTTAACTGCAATTTACTTTTCATAAGATTTCTTTACATCAAACGTTAATTAATTTAAGATTATACATATACGCTATATATTTATCCACCTTTTTATCCTATGGTTTTCTTATTTATAGATAGTTAAAGCAAATAATACCACTAGTTTTTATTGATCGTTATCAACAGTGCTCTGTTGTAATTCATTTATGCATAACTTAGTATTTGTATCTTTTTTTTTGTAGACTAACTTTGATACATTTGAACAGGATATATTATCTCGTATGGCAAGCTTTGGACAGTGAGAAAACAGTGTGTACAGAAGAGATAATGTTGGTCGATAATGTACAAAATGCTGTATTGTTTTTTTTCTTTTCAATGTGAATATATATACCCAATGTTTTTTATCTGTACATAATCTCTATTGCACAATAAATGTGTATCATTTGAGTTGTGTGTGCCCACAATTTAATCAGGTATATGAGTCAACAGATGATCACTTATAGACTAGAAAGGAAATAAGAAAAAGAAAAACAAACATCTATAGTAAAACTAATAAATGGTACATGTGTAAGATATGCTGAAGCAAGTCATCTACCTCTATGAAAGGAATTCATTTTCAACTTCTTAAATTAGTCTTCACAACATAACCAACCAACCAACCAATAGAATGCTGTAATGTCCACACTATAACAAAGGATAGGGATTCTGTTTTGAAAGACTGATGTTTATACTCTTGAAGATCTATCCACATTGATTAATTTTTCTCCTCGATGGTCGTAAATCAACTTTAATCTATGTAGTAGAAGTTGGTTTCAAAGATTGATGATGGAGTAATATTTCTGTTTCCAGTGCCTATTAAGTCATTTTCCTTTAAGACTATCTCTCACTTCTACTAAGGAATGACAAGATCGACTAGAAATTTGAAACCAATTTTTATTACACAATAGCCATAGAACTTGCCAATATTTTGGTAGGCCAAAAAGATTCGACTGTATACATAATGTAGTTTCAGTAGATTATTGAAATTTGTGATTTTTAAAGCAACCTCCATTCTACTGTAAAAGCTTTGTCAGATTTGGATGACACGTAATGTGACAGTAAATATTACATTTAAAGAAAAAACTGGAATTTCACGTTTTACCCACTTGGGTTTTACTACATACTGGGTGGAAGTCGAAAAGATAAAAACATTTGAAAAGCCTTACATAGAAATCCAAACCAGTAAAGTGTGTTGTAAATAATGCATTCATGAGTATGGTTCATTGGTTGAACTCAATAGATTCAGGGTTCGAGTTTTGATGGACCTGAGGAACTGGATAGCATTATAAGCCGATAGCTTAGTACACAGACCTGTGTACCAGGTTGGGTTGGATTAGTTTTATTTACTTAAATATAGCATTTTAAGGTGTGAACAAAATGTTTAATGCAGACGGAGAGATACAATATAACCGAATATCAGCAATTTAAGATCCTTCACTGTTAAGTACTAGAGCATTAAGCTAAATACCAATAATGATAGCGATAAAATACATTTATATCAAAATAAGAACTTACCCTTATGGTTTGTGTTTCTGTAAATCGAACCCTGCAGCGACCTGCACCCCATCCACACATGATTGTTTTCTTACTTCCGAACCGAAGGTGTTCATTAAGTACATGGTGAAGTAGATCACGACGATCCATGAATCCAATACCACAATTTTCACCACATTTTTTTCCATACTTCAAAAAGATTAAATCATGAAGTAATCAAAATAAATAGAGAAACATGAACTTTTTTTTAGATTAGGAGAAAAAGTTACGATCACAGACTACTTCACCATACATGTTAGGAGAATAATCAGTACAAGAGGATGATCATAAGGTTTATACTATGGGAAGTGAGGAACTGAAAGTCTAACATAAAACGAGACGTTATGTCGAGCGTAGTCTTGTATGTGGAACAAAATAATTTGAAGATAGATTTTATCATATTCCAAGATACAAATGAGGAACGAATCCTAGTTTTTATTGTTTTCAGTTACTGTCCGTCTAGGAGAAAAATTGTCATGAGGAAAATAAGTTCACAGAATAAACTCGATGCTATGTTTTGAATGAAAAGCCCATTAGAGGAGAGAAACTAAACTTTAGCCAAACTTTGTATGTGACCTAGCGACCTGCTTAAAAACTTTGGGCTGCTGAAAATTTCCCACGGAATTTTGTTTCACCAAATCCATCCTTTTTAATTTGTTTTAATGTTATAAATATTTCTTTCAAGAGCGGCAAGTACTCTTGCGTATTTTTAAAATGGTTCAAAACTATCATTTTTCAAGCTAACAGCAAAACAGAATAAAGGGTATGCCAATAATAGCTGAGCTTATGAATGCAAAGAAATACAGTATATTAGTATTCCTTGGATGACTATGTCAGATTTCAGGTTTTAAGTAGTGGTTACGCTTAATATTCTGTTTATTCACCGGTCCAAACCAGATGCTAATGTAATTACCAGGTGGTACCTGTTTGATACTATGACTTTTATTACTGCTATTATTAAACAGGATTCAAATGTAATGGTTATTTCGCCTAAAGACATTGTACAAGGGAATAGATTTGTTGAGAATTCTATACCGTATGACACAGTCTTATTTGGAATAAAGCTATTAATTATTGTTACTGTTAGTTTACAAAGAACCTATCATGAAAAAAAAAATTAGACATTTGTATATGTACGCAGTTTATGAGTCGAAATATATACATAAATAAACATTTAGAGATTAATGCTACTTAAAACCTACTCACCAAACATGTATAGTCAGAGGCTGGTTCATTGACCAAAATAACAGTGACAGATCCGTCCAAACTTCCTGCAATCAACTAGAAAAAAAACACGATGATATGAAAGAAAGAAAGAACTATCACTCAAAAGTGTATTCACTGTGAAAACAAACAATTATTGTATTCAATGAAATAGTACAAATATTACCAATTGAATATAGTTCACTATATAACTACGTAGGAAATATGTTATTTCAGGGATAGTGCACACATACTTTGATTCATAATGAATAAGATAAAATCAATAACTAACCATATCCATGATGGATAGTGATTAGCAGTGGAATCCAGGATGCGCGTTTCGTCCTATTTGGAGGTCATCAGCTGGAAGTATCTCTGCTTCCAAGTGAGCGATGTTCCTCCCACTTAAGACAAGCAACAATGTAGCTAGCAATATTCTCAACAAAAAGGAAGTCTTTTTCGCAAGCTTCCTTGCATTTGGTCTATTGAAAAGCTATACTGGCAAAAAAACTGATGTTTTACTCAGTAACATGAGGAGATTGAACTTATAATCAAAGGGTATACACATTGTATGAGCGAGATAGCGCATAAAATAATATAGTTTAAAAACACATTACACACTCCAGTAAAGTTTATTATGCGGTGAATTGATATTAACTGCTAGGTGGGATGGTTAACGTCATCTTTGTTATCTGCATCAGAAAATTAGGTTAGCAAACAGACTAACCAATCGAACCGATAGATATAACCTTTGAGCACTATCCTGCATGATTGTCGAGGGGAGAATGTAAATCAATTAACAGTTCAATTCTGGTCACCTCTGGACATAAGGCTAGACCAGAATCCTCCTTCAGTGTCATTTATAGTGTCAGATGGAATTGTGCAAAAGGAGTACGCCTTCGACAGTTGTGCACAGCGGAAGCACTGGCAATTCATCAATTCAGGCCTGATCTCTGCATGCAAAAGAAGTATGTTCAATCTCTCATCTTACCATGGTCTTAACACTTTCACCATCCTTTTTCGATTTCATTATAATTAATTAGTTTACTGTTATTATCACCCTTGTCTCATTCTTCACCTTCTTTACATCTATCTGCTGTCAAGTGGACACTCAATATTTGCATTTCTTATCTACCAACAATTTTCACCTTGCCAATCTCCTCGCCTTCCTCGATATTTCTACTGTCTTGGTTTATTACGCAACTACTTTGCATTCTTGATTCCGGATTTTTAACACTAGTTTAATGATGTAATTATACCCTATTGTTTTATAATGGACTGTTATATGTTTATGATATATATAAATAAGATCATTAGCTTTAAAAAATCATATTGTCGGGAAAGAAAATTTTCCTCGCTGAATTATCTCTTCTCTATGACTCAATGGGTATGTTTTGTAGTCTTGTTACAGTAGTAAATTTCGCCTGCCACAGTGACTCAATCAAATGAAAATCATTGGAATCGATCGTGTTCCCTGAGGATATATTGCATAAAAAAACCACATGGTCAGCCTGAGGCAGATATCCCACGGGCAACGCCATTTCCGATTTGAAGAACTTCTATAAAGCACAAGTTCCTTAGTATGGACAACTGTGGAGCACCAAATAACACCACTCTTCTAACGGTATATAAGTACCTATTTGTCATTACCAACTACCTACAACTTTGTCCTTACTTTTCCCCATTACCTTTTTTCTATAATCAATGTTATTACAACGTTCTTTATAATATCTTACTTCGGATATGCCGCTAAGAAGTTAAGCCAACAAGACGTTATTACTAATGTCACTGAAGACAGCAACATATATAACTTATACTAAAACTCTAGCGTCCCAGTGTTTTTTGTATTTCTGAAACACCTCCACTGAGACAATTTAGTGAATCGATACGGTATTATGACAGCACCAATCTATTAAGTCGCCTGAAGCATGCAGGTTGCCTGGCTGAGGTGCTGGAGAGGAGACGAATCAATGATTAAAGACTTGGTGATCAGCTTCAAAACTCGTCATTTACGAAATTTAGGAAATTCCCCTAAACCTGCATCTATTGAACTTCCTACTCCATGTACACTTTTGTCTTCTTTAATTTTATTATGTTTCTACCCACTTTTCCTTTAAATACTGCTGAGAAGTGTGGCAACTTTGACTGGTGCATTTCCGTGTTAGACTCTAAGTTGACGTGTCCCGTATAACTTCTGGCAGTATTCTACTATAAATTGTAGATTATGAACAATTTTCAAACCACATAGTGCTGAAAAGTCTGCGAATGAAAGATATGCATCGTATACTTGACCTATGAAATGGAATCCTTCAAAAATACGCCGACTGATCAATAATCCCCTCTCATTAGTGAATGCATTCACTTTCTGACAAATATTCCCATTCTAAAAATTACCTTCAAACGGCCTACTTACTTCTTATTCATCCATTTAAGATAAGGATGCAAGATAAGCTGAATCCTGCAAATACCACTACATCTATCCTATTTGGCTGACTTTTTGCAGCACATTGTGGAGACTCGTTGTGATTTGATATATAGAAAATGATTTCAAGTATCCCAACCAGCTTTTTACACACTTTAACTTTCCTAGCTATAGTATTGGTGAGTGAAACATCATGATGATCTTGAACAGAATCAATCCCATGTGAAGGATTTTGTTAGTTCTAGAAATTAAAGTATCTTGTTACTGTTAACAGTAAATTAAATTGCGAAAGCAACTAAGTCACTTAGTCAAGGCGATTTCAGCAGGGTTCGAACTCTAGACTTATTGTTTGAAAGTTAAGCATATTCACACAATTGTACTTATCTAAAGACTTAAAGTTAATTTATGGAGTAGTTTGTTTTGATATCCAAGTGCTTTTCCCTACTGAGAACACGTAAAACAATACACAACACTGAAATTAATCAGAGACATTTGGAAATACACCAAGAATTGCACCGCAAGTTGAAATAATATACCCAAAACTTCACACAAAAATCCTTGACTGTAGAGGTGAAAAATTTCATGATTGCATACAGTCATAAGAAGTAAAGAACATCCCAGAGTTCTAGAAGTTCGAATATAACCCAAAGTGAGAAACTTATGTTGATGATATTGTCCAGCACGACAATAAAAGCTTCACAATTAAACTATTTAGCTAAGAGAATATAATACTGAAATAGTGTATAGTAGTCACGAAGACAAATATGCAGATTCATATATAATAAAGAAAAAATCTAAAATAATAATTCTATATGCAACTTACAGTGTCTCCTGAAGAAGTAAGTGAGGTGACTGCACCTCTCGCAGATATGAAATAAACTTTTATTGGTCGTGTGAAAGGTAATCCATTCGGCTAAAAATAACAAAAAGAACAATATGAAATAAATGAAATATATATTTAAGTGAAGTATAAGCAACAAAGTAAATTGTCTTGCAAGACGATCTTTATCAATAACTGATGTCAGCCAAAGAAGCATAAACTAGAGTCCCACAGAAAATGTTTGTCATAATTAAAGACTACTCTGAGTAGCACATATCTACAATCAAACAAGTAGTTTAGTCTGTGATCGACCATGTAACCATTAAGTCATTGAGTTAAAAACCCAACAATTTACAGTTTTCACCATCAATTACAATGTAAATAGAGCTATAAACACTTGTACTCAGTTATTCTTCATTTTAGATTCAATACGCCAATGGTCTTGTTCACTAGCATCTGAATATATATATATATATATATATATATATATATATATATATATATATATATATATATATATATGAGGTATCGAAAACCAATCCCTAATCCCATCAAGTATACTTTAAAAAAGCATATATTTGAATGCACGACAATGATTGTTAAGGTAACAAGGTTTCTGAGTAGGTAAATTCCTATAATAGGGTTAAATCAGAATAAAAAATATGGTTGGATCACACCTGAGTAATAAAATGTTCAAAATCTAAGGTACGATAAAATCAACGGAGTGAGAACAGTTCTGTACCATATCTTTCATTCATGTATTCAGCCACCGATTCCTACTAATTAATGGGATGAGTTAGGACTAACAATATATTTCCTATTCGACCCAGATATAACCAACTAGTGTCATGCTTTGATAACATATCCCTAAACTCCTTCTTTATGAAAAAAACAATAAATCACTCATCTACTTTGCGCACATTCGTACAGTAGGCGATGAGCCCTACTTGGTATGTGACTGCTGATGATACTACCTGGTTGCTAAAACCTAGGTAGCTGGAGTGGGGTTCGAACCCACTACCGGTCGGTTGAAAGTAAAAACCCTTCTTTATGCGTCTGCTTTAAACCAAATACATCAGGAATGAATCAATAAAATGTTCAGTTAACTTTTCAAAACAAGGAGCTTTAAGGTGACTTTATACCTACTGTCATAGCTGTCCACTTTGTGACTTATTAACTTTAAGTGTTTCCCAGTTCATCTTTGTTTAGATTCTGAATAATACTGCTGCCCAGTTATTTTATTTTCTCACTATATTGGCAGTCTGATGACAATACAATACTTAATTCTACTGAACAATGCTCGATCACTGCATACGGATTATACAAAATTGTCGACGCGAAATAATGAGTAGTCATTTCTGAACAATATCTACTCTGATAGTTGTAATGCGAAAGGATGAAAATAGAAAAGAACTAGGAAGACTACAGATTAACTTAAATACTATAAACTACCATGGATAGTTAAGTATATGCAGAAAGATAATTTGAACATAATATAAGTTAAGAATGAAGACGAATGTCCCATTGACGATACAGAATTACGATTGCACTATATCAAGTATTGATTGAAGTTGGATGTTTGGATTCCAATGCAGTGGTTAAATGATATTGTGCTTACAGAGCAATCAAAAGATTGTGATCTAGATCTGGTATGCAGTCATGGTTGCAAATTACTGGGAATATTTCAGGACAGTATAACTGCTCAATGTACACTGTCTTCAATAAGTTATCTATATAGAACCAATAGAGGTCAAAATCTTTATTACTAACGATAATGATAACTTTATGAAATGAAGACTGTTTCGGTGAATGGTTATGATCGGAAGTCTTTAGAATATGTCAATAAGACATACAGTTTAAAACCTAATCTTACTGAATCCATGATAAAACTGTTTTGTTACAAAATATATGTACATTCGTGCCATAGGCAATGAATCACATCTATTGTATGAAGGCGAATGATACAACCCCATGTATTATTATTATTATTATATTATATTATTATTTTTAGTCCCTTGGGTTCCTAATGGAACATAGGGCTTCAGTAGCACGTCTCCAGTGAACTCTGTTCTCTGAAATCTTTTCAACCTGGCTCCACGACAGCCCACAACCTCTCATTTCCTCCTCACGCCATCTCCTCCATGTCACCCTCACCTCGTACGCCCAGCTCATCGTTTCCTATCTGAGTCCCGCTCGACGACCTGGCATGTTGCGTGATGTCCCCACTCGGCCTTCTCAGTGTATGCCCAATCCATCTCCACTTCCTTCCAATGCATATTTGTTACGTGAGAGGTTCTTGGTTGGTTCGTTCCCCCAGCTGCTTGTTGCTTATTCTCACTATTCTGGCCATCTGATCTTCAGTAGAGAGTGAGCGTAGGCGGCAGTTGTTGATGAATGTCTGTAGTTTATTGAAAATCCCTTTCGTAACGCGCCAAATCTCTCAACCATACAGAAACACTGACTTGACGCTGGTGTTGAAAATCTGCTGAGTGCAGATCTCCACACTGGTTTCAGGCTAATGAACACCTGTCTTGCTTTTCCGATTCTGACTGGTTTTGACGTCCTCGTCCGTCCCGCCTGTAGTTGAAACAGTGCTTCCTAGATAAGTGAAGGAGGTTACTTCCTTCAAGTTTCTCCCGTTGACGGTGACTGGAGTTTGTTGTTGTTGTAGTTGTTGGTGCGGTATCTTCATCACCTCTGTCTTCTCCATATTCACTTGAAGTCCCGTCTTCGCTGCCCTGCCTCTTCTGACAACTTGTTAGTTTTTGCCTGTAGATCTTCAAGTTTGTGTGACATCAGGCACAAGTCATCAGCGAAATCCAGATCTTCTAGGTTCTTTTCCGCAGTCTAGCCAGCGTATCCCCCTCTTCTCACAGCTCCACACTGTTTGCTGCCTGATCCAGTCCACCACAATGAGGAATATCATGAGGGATAGTAGGCAACCTTGTTTCACTCCTCCCTGTCTTCACTTCAAAAGCATCACTGAGCTTCCCATTGTCAATTACTTGGCATGTGGCGTCTTCATATAGTTGCTGAATGAGGTTTATGAAGGTTTGTGGTATTCCGTAGTAATGAAGCAGTTTCCAAATTACCTCTCGGTCGACGCTGTCAAAGGCCTTCTCAGAGTCGATAAAGTTGAGGTGTAGAGTCAACTGCCATTCTATACTCTGTTCTATGACGATGCGTAGTGAAGCGTTGCCATTTGATCAGCATACGATTTGTACTTCCTGAAGCCTGCCAGCCAGCCTGTTCCGGTCGTAGTTTTGAATCCAGTGCATCTTTAAGCCTCTCTAGGATGATGCGGCTTAATATTTTGCTTGCTGTGGATGGACAGGAGAGTGATTCCGCGCCAGTTCTTGCAAACACTGAGGTCTCCCTTCTTCGGCAGTCTGACAAGGCAACCCTTCTTCCAATCACTAGCCAGGTACCTTCTCTTCCTTCCACACCTTCTGCAATAGTGGTGTGAGTATGTCTGCTGTTGTCTCTGCGTCTGTTTTCAGTGCTTCTGGCGGGATCCCATCTGGTCCTGCTGCTTTCCCACATTTCAGTAGCTTTATGGCGTTCAGGACTCCCATTTTTGTTGGAGGATTTATGTTCACTTGTAGTTCAGCGGCTGCGGTGCAGGTGGCGGTCGATTCAAGAGCTTCTTGAAGTGGTCGGCCCATTGTTTCCTTTGTTTCTCTTCTTTGGTAATTAAATTTCCGTTATCATCTTTTATTGGTTTCATCTGTGTTGATCTCTTTCCAGATAGCAACCTGGTTATTTGATACAATGTTGTCAGGTCTCTCTTACCTGCAGCCTGTTCTGCTTCACTTGCCAATGTGTCGTAGAAGTGTCTTTTGTCTTTCCGTGCATTCTTCTTTACTTCTTCATCCAGTGTAGTGTTTTATACATTGTACTTAGTTGCTCTTCTCGTCGTTCATGCTTGCACTGGTTTATCTTCTGCTTCACCATCCTCCTCTTCCTGGTCTATCAGCTTCCATGTATCCATTGAGATCAATTCCTTATCTTCTTCCTTCCTAATACGGCTGTGTAGGTTTCTCTCCACATCTCCTCCAAAGACTACCACTGTTCTTCCACACAGGTTTCTTCAGGGATGTTCCTCGATATCTCCCATTTTGTCTTGATGGCTGACGTGAAGATCTCCTTTGTAGTTTCATCCTTCAGCTTCCGAGTGTTGTACTTGAACTGAGGTCTATCACCAGCTTCCTTGAAGGCTTTCAACTTGATTTGGAAGGTTCCTTGCACTAGATGGTGAGTGGTCTGAACCTACATCTGCTCCCCTTCTTGACCTTGTGTCAAGTAGACTGCGTCTCCATTTTCTTGAGATTGAGATAAAGTCGATTTGATTTTTAGTGTGTGTGGTGTCTGGTGAAATTCATGTCGCCTTGTGGATATCTTTGTGCTTGAACACACTGCCTCTAATTACCAAATCGTTGAATGCACAGAATTGTGCAAACAATTCTCCATTGTCGTTCATCACCTCACCTAGTGCTTCTCGACCCATGGTTAGTTCTCTTCCTTTGTTGTCCCCTCCCAGTTTGGCATTCATGTCGCCCATTAGAATGGATCTTGATATCGCCAACTGACGTCTTGTCCAGTGTTGATTGAAGTTGTCTGTAGAAATCCTCCTTCTTCTCTTGCTCTGCACTATTTGTAGGTGCATAGCATTGTATGATTGTGACCTTCCTTCCTTTTGAGTTGATACTTGCTCTCATGATCCTGATACTGGAGGAGATTGGTTCCCACTGCATGAGAGCCTTCGATGATCTTGAAGGGGACATCATGATAGCCACTCCATAACTCAGTGTGCTTGTGATTGTCGTCTGGGTGACAATATCGGAGTAGATTATTGATTCTCCAGTTGACAGTTTGGAGAGTCCACTACCATTCCATCTGCTTTCGCAAATCCCAAGCACTTCGATGTGATACCTTCTTATCTCGTTTGCAATCTGGGCTGCCTTACTGGGTTCAAACATGGTGCGGACATTCCATGTCCCCACGTTTACTTTCGCTTTCATCGAGAGAAGACACATTGGCCAATTGGCTTCCCGAAGGCTTTCACCAACTGGCGTCATTTCGCCTCTCCGATTCTAGTGAGGAATAATTTTGTTATTATTTTTTATATATCGTTTGTGCTTTAAAGTTTCTTTAGCGGTTAGATTTGTTTTACGGGGTAGGGTTGCTAGCCCTATGCCCAACCTTCCCTCTTTACCCGGGCTTAGGACCGGCTAGTAATTAGTGAACTAGTTAACCATGTAACAAAATATAATTATATGCTTACTTAGATGAACATATTAAGCAACAACAAAATAGAAAAAATAATAATATGAGATTCACTAGTTTCAACATACGTTAAGAAAAAGTGTTAATTGTGGGCATATATTGCTTAGCATGATAGGATGCTATGTGAGGTAAAGTGTTCGAAGAGTGAGCTATATCCAACAGTAATTTAATTATTATTATTTACAAAACTTGAGTATTTTTCGACAAAATTTGATTAAATATTTCTGTGAATTTCATTATCAGAAAAGGTTTTGTACAATAAAAACAAGCTGAATTTCTTTATATTAAATCAAATGGTGAAAACATTTCTCAGCATAAAAATCTACTTTTTTATCTTCATTTTATGAAGATTTTATATATTTCCAAGTAGTATTTCGTCAAGGATTGACATCAGTTGAAGAAACTTTGAAAGCATGGGAATACCAAATAGCTGTTTTATTCTAGTATGGGATGTTTTTAGCAGTACCCACCCACAATACCGTCAGGGATAGAATTCAGGTCAGGCGGTGAACGCTTTAACCATTCAGCCACTGGTTTGTAGTTCAATGGTTCATAGTTTCCTAATTCAGTCAAAACATGACATAGCGTGAGTATCCGCTGACGGTAGTTGTGAGTGCGCACTGTTGTGGAGTCTCATACTTCAATAAAACGACTCCCCAGTGCTACCAGTTTTTCAATGGCTCTCCAACTCATACCAGTCCAAGATGAATACTACCTTGGAAAATACTTCTCACTAGACTGACAAATTGGCTTACTTGGAATTTATAAACACGAACTGTGCCTTCAGAATCTCCAACAGCAATATAACGACGCATTACACAAGAACTCGCTATTTTATGAACATGGAAAGTTAACTCAGCAACTCCAGTCTTCAGAGATAAAAAAAAAGATAAAAAAGAAGGATAAAATCAACAACGGATAGTTATGACAAGTTAGTTGCAAGTTGATACAGCAAAAACCAACTGTTAGCAAGAATGAAGCTTTAGATACTCACATATTGGAACCTTAGAGTTAGAGACAAAGAAATCATAAAACCAGTATCTATATTGGAACGTAAATAATTCTTAACACGATTAAGTACGAATTCATTGCAATTCAATTTGCCTTCATATTAACACGAGCTTTGAATTTTTTTTTAAGAAACAGGAGTAAGACGAGGTTGCCACCTAATATCATCGATGATCTTCCTGATTGTGGTCGACTCAATTGGACTGGATCATGCTAGAAGATGGGCATACGCAGACTGGAACGATGAAATGACTGTAGATGACTTGTATTTTGCCAACCATGACTTATGTCTGATGTCTTGTTGCACAAACTCGAAGATCTACGGGCGAGAGCTGACAAGTTGGCAGAAGAGGCGAGGTGAAACGAGGTAGCAAAGACGGAACTTCTTTCAGGTGAACGTAGCGAAAACAGAAATGATGAATATACTCAACCAACAGCAACAACAAGCACCATCAACGCGAGAAATCTAAACGAAGTAGTCTCTCTCACCTACCTATCCATCTCTCTACCTACCTACCTAGGCAGCATCGTCTCAACTAAAGGTGCAACACGCACAGATGACGACGTCAAAGCCAGGATCGGAAAGGCAGCAACACAGACCTTCATCAACCGGAAATCAGTGTGGAGATCGACTACACTCAGCACAAATTGTGAACAACATCCGGATTTTAAACACTAATGTCAGTCAGTCAGTCAAGTCAGTACTTCTGTATAGTTGAGAGACTTGGCGCGCTACGGAAAGCATTCACAACAAACTGCAGATATGCATCATCAACAGCTGCCGCCTACACTCACTCGATACTGAAGATCGGATCAGATGGCCAGAATAATAAGAATAAGTAAGGAGGGAATCTGGCTAGTAAGGAACCAAACAATCGCTCAACAAATATGCAGATAAAGTGGAGATGGATTGGATTGGACATACACTGAGAAGACGGTTTGGGGATATCACGCATCAGGCCAGGTCATCGAGTGGAACCCAAATGGGAAACGACGAGTTGGGCGTCCGAGGTGAGAGTGCCATGAAGGAGATGGTGTGAGGAATAAATGAGAGCTTCTGGGTAGTTGTGGAGCCAGGTTGAAAGGACTGCAGAGAACGGAGTGGCGACGTGCTACTGAAGCCCTATGTTCTACTAGGTACCCAAAGGACAAATAATAATAATAATAATAATCAACTACACAAACTGATAGACCTCAATGACTTGAGAATATATATAACTGTTATTGTCTTTCGAGTTCTTATCTATACGCAATGGGACTAAAACGTTCGCAATACTGATGTTAGGTATAGGAAATATATGTAATGGTAACTTGACAGACAAAGTTGCAAAATGATACAAATTGAAGTGCATTTTTTATGTGCTAAGTATCTTAAGAATACTGCAAAAATAAATGAAGAAAATGGGGTCGAGTTAATGTTACACAGACTCCTGATTCCAATGAATTTCTTCATGCAATTAACTCCACAACTCAGAAACTAAACTTAAAGCGTGACTGCAATTATAAACATAATACTTCAAAGACGTCTGTAAATCCTCTTTTCCACATAGTAGAATACAATACATATTAATTGCTTTTAAACCGGCATACCTTTTCATTACTTATGACTCCTTACGCGTGAAGCTATTGTCATGGACTTAGGCAAGCAAGCAATGGGTCACAGGTTTGAGCTTCACTCTATAAAGATCGAACTTTTCGACCCAATAAGGTAACGAGAAATTACAAGCATCAATAAACAATAACTCATGATGGCTTCATTGGCCTAGTGGATAATGCTTTAGTGCTGGAAGAGATGGGTACCAAATTGCAGTCTCAGTGGGAACAATATTACTCACTGGGAAACAGGTACACCCAGCTGACGAGTCTCAAGTAGGACGCAACGCGCGTTCTGGATTCCACTGCTAGCTGCCAAATACGTTACAATTCGCCTCACCCGCTGCAATGTCTAAACAACCAGGTAGCATTATACGCCCTCACATGCTGCGTGCCGCTTATAGTCTAGTAAACAAAACCTAAACTGTGTAAATGAGTTACATTATCTATTATTCAATACTCAAACTACATATGTTAACTCCCTATCTAAAAATATGATAAATGGCTCATATTAGATACGCGACAAGATCAGTCTTTATTTATTTTGGCAACAGTATCTATACATGATTGATATATCAACAGAAAATCCATATAAGAACACTATTATGTGGAAAATAAATACATACAACTGGTGTCATCAATACAACAATCTATCAGTTACCTTCCAATTATAAATGCGAATGGAACGATCAGAATAGGAAGTAAAAAGAGAACCACTAGGTAAGCTGGCAATACCCTGGGGAGGTCCTTTTTGTAAATTATTCTGTATATAGCATACTAATTCCCCGTCACTAGCTGAACGAATTGAAATAGAGCGATCCTAAAGTTAATATTTAAGAAAATAGGGAAACGTACGTGTAGGGAATTATAAAAAAAAATACGTGTAGTAATCAACTACTCAAAAAGTGTCATAAAACAGTTAACAGTTGAATAAAAAAAGAAAACCTATTAGAAACTAGAAAGAAAGGAAATACAGCAGTGTTTATTTCACAATAGATTGAAATCTAATATGCCTAGAATGAATTATTTTAGAAATTAAACAATGATCTTACACTAGTTTAATTTATTCAAAATCCTCAGTGTAACACTTCACTCAATATAGATAGATTCGGAAGTCACTAGCAGAGGGTACTGAGTAGTTTCAATAATACAGGAATATGCAAAGTAGCCACTGAATATATCAATCACAGTCAATACCAAAATGGACATCAATGAGTAACGTACTTAAAGAGAATATGAAATAAAGATTAGCTCACAGAAATAGTACCCAATTTACGAGAAAAAAACTGATGATTCAGGATTTTGAATTTGCATAGGATGAGTTATACTGAATATGTGAAGATCATGTTATTACCTGGTTATCTGAAACTAATCGACCGATAGCTGATACCTTTACATAGTGACAGAGTATGCATATCACAGTGGCACAAGAGCTTTATTGGATGGAATACTTGTTCCTTAACGTTTATTGGATAATGGTAAGATGAAAAGTAGTCATCGTCAAAGTGTAAATTACTACGCTATGATAGGGGGTCGGTCCGAGGACGAAGCCGTACTGCCGGCTGAACGGAAGTGTCGCAGCAGTATGATGTTTCCGATGCATGAGTGGTAATGCCAGGTTGATACTGCCTTGCTTATGGTAACAGAGTGTTAGAACATATTTGCCCCAAAAACAGCACACTTTTACCTGTCCTGCAGTATTCCGGTCCCAAAGAAGTAGCTTTATCTTAGTCAGCATAAGAATAATCAAATCTTATAACAACAATACTGAAAACACCGTATTTGACAGTCCTCAAGCAGATGTTCAACAAGGTTCATTGGTCACGCAACTCTGTTGTTTTCTCTCCTTTTACGTACCCTATAGAAACAACTTCCACGGTGTGGGGAGCCGAGAAATAACAACCACTCGCACGCTTTCAGTTGTATACAAAACCCAATAGAACAAGACTTACCTTCTTTTCCCTTGTCATCTATGTTGCCTTCACTTCGTGGTGCCAAAACTAAGCTTCCTGCAACTTCTTCAACCACCCACACTAGGACCATTGCTAACGATTCAAACAGTCTTTCGAGTCTCCTAGGACCACACTGCCAATTTCACACAGAAGCTTTCACCGTATGCTAGATCAGATAAAGAGCATCTTTTGCTCAGACTCTGGAATCTTGAACCATATATGAATACTGCGTTTCTGAGATACATATACGGGATTCCACTGTAGTTATTCACTTTACACCATCTGGCGACTGCGTTGTATCCTCAGAATTCACAATACGAGTGTCCGGACACTCAAAGGCCGGCTTTTGTGCACACGCTGGTGTAGCATCAAGTTCTCGAGCAGAAAGCGCACTTCTCGACTCCCAAGAAAACCAAGCTGAGAAGCTAAACCAAGTCATGACACCAATCCATTAGGTCTCTGACTTTGTCCGGGCCATGTAAGGAGGTGTAGACTACCTAGTTGGTGTCCCCGGGACGATAGGAATCAATGGTTGGGGACTCTCGGTGAAATGGCTGAAAATCTATCACAATGGAGCAGATGTAATCCCTCTTTGATGTTTTCTAGAAGTTGAATATTTTCACTAGCTTTCATTTTCAAACTGTTTTTCCTACCGTATACCTTTGTCTACTTTGAAATAAGTCTTTTTCTACTCACTGATTCTTTGCATGTGGCTGTGAAGCGTGGCAACTTGTTGACCTTGTCTGTCTATGCCATATTAAGAAGATACAGTGTAAGTCTGAAACTCTGATTTAGTAATTGGTATTTAAGTACCACTTAGCTATAGTTTCATAGTTATACATGACTGTATATATGGACATCATCTTGTTGGGTGGATAAAATGGGAAAAATGACTTCAAAACCAGTTAGGTAGAATTAAATACAACGAAAGTCACTTTTTACAAATTCCTGGTGGAAAAAAATGCAATGAAATGCGCCTATATTCATAAAAAGAGCAGCCTAATACGCTACCTTTCAATACTTGCAAATTAATGGAGGTAACGTAACCTGTTGTGAAGTAAAATTACCTGAATAAATACATAAAGAGACTTATTTGAAACCCTATATAGATGCAAATTTTTAATCAAAATAGAGGTCTTCATAAGTGGTGGTTGAATCAAGTGAACATAAGAGGCAAACAGAAAACTTACCAAACCCCCGACAATTAACAACAATGAAGTTCCAGACTGAACAAGACAAAGTGAAGTAACACCAGCTGATTCGTTTGACTGAGATGCATGCGTTACTTGTTGTGAGTCTTTTGTTTTACCACCTACAGATTCAGATTGAGAGTGACCAGATGTATGTCGGCATAAGAAACCGATTGCATGTGTCTCAACATTGTAACGTAATATCTCACCACCGAAAAGGCCCATAAATATAAATGGAACATCAGGAGAAGGAGCAGCTGCTAATGCTTCAATACGACTGGAGAAAATATTTTTATGTACTAGTAGACCGGTCTACAGAAGGACAAACAAGAAAATACAATGTATAAAGTGAAGTAACTTATAGGCACTTTGAATATTGCCGATAAAAGTGAAACGAACTTTCTTTAGTGCAAGATATTGATTAGTAGTAATTTCAGGTGTCAACAGTCAGCAGAACACTTCTGCAGTAATTAACCAGGATAAAGTGGGTTAGTACTCAATGAAAACTTTGAAGTTTATTTCTTCAAAAGTTAAAAACTATGCTGGCGACATTCGAGGGACAGCTCATGTTAGTTATTTTGGGAGGTTCTACTTCACACTCTTTGATATAACAACCAATAATATTAATCAACCTAGAAATAGATCGCCTAATATATGACGTTTAGTTTGGCTACCTGAGATAACCATCATTTAGCAGACTTCTACTGATACTGACTGAGTGATGACTGAAGGGGAAAAGAGAGTCTGGATGACGTTGGGATTCGAACTAGCAACCTTAGGGTTACCAACTCAGTGCTCAACCAACTGATATTTGGTTGCTGACTAGATCTTATTTTGCTTATCAGCAGTCGAGTCTTGTAGCTCAGTTGGCAGACGACTGGGCCAATAACTCGTAGGTCGCTGGTTTGAATCCTTACCAGGTTTTCATCTCACCTCCAATCATCACCCAGAATTTATACATAACTGTCAAATAGTTACCATGTGCACCCTTTCGTTTTCTGTAGTACTAACATGAAACCAGATTGTTTGGATTATAACATCCTCATATAAAGCCTGTAGAATTGTGAAGTTAGGAGGAATAAAATAAATTCAGTTGAAGAAAATTATCTTTCAAAACAAAGTGCCATTCAAAAATCGTAATTTATTTATTATTATTATTATTTGTCCTTTGGGTACCTAGTAGAACATAGGGCTTCAGTAGCACGTCGCCACTCCGTTCTCTGCAGTCCTTTCAACCTGGCTCCACAACTACCCAGAAGCTCTCATTTATTCCTCACACCATCTCCTTCATGGCACTCTCACCTCGGACGCCCAACTCGTCGTTTCCCATTTGGGTTCCACTCGATGACCTGGCCTGATGCGTGATATCCCCAAACCGTCTTCTCAGTGTATGTCCAATCCAATCCATCTCCACTTTATCTGCATATTTGTTGAGCGATTGTTTGGTTCCTTACTAGCCAGATTCCCTCCTTACTTATTCTTATTATTCTGGCCATCTGATCCGATCTTCAGTATCGAGTGAGTGTAGGCGGCAGCTGTTGATGATGCATATCTGCAGTTTGTTGTGAATGCTTTCCGTAGCGCGCCAAGTCTCTCAACTATACAGAAGTACTGACTTGACTGACTGACTGACATTAGTGTTTAAAATCCGGATGTTGTTCACAATTTGTGCTGAGTGTAGTCGATCTCCACACTGATTTCCGGTTGATGAAGGTCTGTGTTGCTGCCTTTCCGATCCTGGCTTTGACGTCGTCATCTGTGCGTGTTGCACCTTTAGTTGAGACGATGCTGCCTAGGTAGGTAGGTAGAGAGATGGATAGGTAGGTGAGAGAGACTACTTCGTTTAGATTTCTCGCGTTGATGGTGCTTGTTGTTGCTGTTGGTTGAGTATATTCATCATTTCTGTTTTCGCTACGTTCACCTGAAAGAAGTTCCGTCTTTGCTACCTCGTTTCACCTCGCCTCTTCTGCCAACTTGTCAGCTCTCGCCCGTAGATCTTCGAGTTTGTGCAACAAGACATCAGACATAAGTCATGGTTGGCAAAATACAAGTCATCTACAGTCATTTCATCGTTCCAGCCTGCGTATGCCCATCTTTTAGCATGATCCAGTCCAATTGAGTCGACCACAATCAGGAAGATCATCAATGATAGTAGATGGCAACCTTGTCTTACTTCTGTCTTCACTTCAAAGGCATCACTGAGCTTTCCATTCTGAATCATTCGGTATGTAGCATTATCATTTTATAACTGCTGTTGAATGAGGTTGATAAAGGTTTGTGGACTAAAACCGTAGTGTTGAAGCAGCTACCTGCCAAATTACTTCTAGGTCAACGCTATCGAAGGTTTTTTCAAAGTCGATGAAGCTGAGGTTAAGATCTAGTTGACTGTCATTCTATACTCTGTTCTATGATGATGCGCACTGTAGCGTTGGAATTTGGACCGCATATGACTTTTTCTTTCTAGTCTCCAAAAATCGTTACCACATCTCGATTCAACTGTACCATCAATGCTTTGGACATCTGAAACAATATGCTGTATCCACGAAATTTTAGCATTATATGAAAGTTAACGACAAAAAACATTAAGGAAAAAAAGGATATGAAAAGAAATCACTCACTTTCACACAATATTCAGCAAAATACTGATCGTAATAACCAACGTAAATGGATTCACCTTTTACATTTAAGCATAACCGAGTAATACTCGCATCTCTGGGAGGAAGATTAGATGTGCACTGGTGAGTCTGTTGAGAAAAGAACAATAGCGATTGATAGAATTCCACTTATAAAAAAAGCATACTAATATTACTATTTATTCTACAAAATGCTTATTAGAAGTTTAGATAATTTATAAATGAATGGTTTGAGTTATGGTTGTAAGAATACTCATTTTTGTGGGGATGTCTACTGACAGTTTTATTCAAAGCCAAGTCTAGTATATTTCGGTCAATAAATTTGCCAACTACATACATACATACATACATACATACATACATACATACATACATACATACATACATACATACATACATACATACATACATACATACATACATACATACATACATAAATACATACATACATACATACATACATACATACATACATACATACATACATACATACATACATACATACATACATACATACATACATACATACATACATTTAGCCAGCACCAATTTCAGACATAAAGAAAGGCACTGTCTGACCTGGCGTCCACCGAGCTCGACTCAGCGATGGACACAGATAGACCACATTGCTATTAGTCATCGCTGGAGAGGATCGGTGGAAGACTGCCGCTCCTTCTGGAGTACGTGTTTGGACAGCGATCATGCGTTGGTCCGAGCACGTATATGCCTGCGTCTCAATGGACGTAGAAAAAATTTGGCAACAAAACCACTACGAGTTCTGCTGGACAACGAAAACACCAAAGCCGTGTTCAGTGAGAAGTTGGCTAGGCAGTTATCGGAACAAAAGACTGTCACTCATCCAGAAGAAGCTTGGTGCCATCTTCAGTCTACTGTAAAAGCAGCACTGGAGACTGTAGCCGACTCCAAGATAATGGCTAAAAAGAGCCAGTGGATATCAGCAGCTTCTTCCAAACTAATGGATGCACGTGAATGCATCCCTGCAGGCTCTGAGTACAATGAAGAGCGAGCGCAACTTAAAAATAAACTGACGAAAAGTCTGCGCAACGATCGTGAACAGTGGTGGGCAGCAAAGGCTAAAGAGATGGAAAAGGCAGCGGCGATCGGTAACAGTAGACAGTTATTTAGACTTATTAAGGAGACTGGGGGGAAATGGTCAACAACAGTTAGTGAGGTTATAGCGGAGAAGGACGGATCGGCGATTCACTCGCAGGGAAGGCGACTGGGACGATGGGCAGAACACTTTGAGGAACAGTTTAACTGGCCTCCAGCCACCATTGCGCTGCCCGCTATCCAGTCGGACCCTGAATGGGACATAGAGACAGGTCCCCCAACACTAGAAGAAGTTGAGAAAGCGGTAGGTAGCCTGAAACGGGGAAGGGCAGCAGGACCAGACGGACTACCTGCTGAGGTATACAAGAATGGTGGTAGAGTTCTCTTAGTCAGGCTAACGGAAGTGTTAGCCAGTATATGGGAATCAAATACGATCCCCTCCGACTGGTCTAAGTCACTGATCATCCCAGTCTTCAAGAAAGGCGAGAAGTCCTCTTGTGATAACCACAGAGGAATCAGCCTGACAAACATAGTGTCTAAGATCCTAAGTTCTATAATTCTCCGACGCCTGAGTGGAGCTCGGGAACAGCAAGCCCGAGAAAACCAGGCAGGCTTTAGACCTGGCCGTGGATGTATCGACCAAATATTCACACTGCGCCAGGTCCTGGAACATAGGCATGCTTACAGACGCCCGACAATAGCTGTATTTCTCGACCTGAAGGCGGCATTTGACTCCGTTGATCGAGAAGTCTTATGGCAGTGTCTGTCACTGAAAGGCGTGCCTAGTAAGTACATCACCTTATTGAAAGCTCTCTACTCGAACACTTGTGGGCATGTTAGAGCCTATGGTGAGTTGTCCAGGGAGCTATACTCATCAAGTGGTGTCCGTCAAGGATGCCCACTATCCCCATTCTTATTTAATTTTATCATAGATATTCTTATGGAGGTTTCCCTCTCGTCACCTAATTACAAAGACGTTGACCGGATCACAGGTGAATTTTCCTTAGATCTAGAATATGCAGATGACATAGTCCTGTTAGGTGAAGACGCTGACAAGATGCAGAGTCTTCTGAACACTTTGAGTGGGAATTTGAGAATGTTTGGGATGCGATTTTCACCACCCAAATGCAAATTTTTGCTCCAGGACTGGTCTTCAGCGGTACCGCGGTTAACAATAGAGAGTGAAGTGGTTGAGTGTGTTGACCACTTCACTTACCTGGGAAGTAGGATCAACTCCGGTGGGTTAGTTGCCGATGAGATTTCTGCACGGATACAAAAGGCTCGATTGGCTTTTGCCAATTTGCGCCACCTATGGCGCCGCCGTGATATTCGTTTGTCTATTAAGGGTCGCGTGTACTGCACAGCAGTCCGCTCTGTTCTACTGTATGGCTGTGAAACATGGCCATTGAAAGTGGAAGACATGAGAAGGTTACAGGTATTTGACCACCGTTGCCTTCGTAGTATAGGACGTATTCCGTGGTGTCACCATGTGAGTAATGCAGAAGTTAGGTGTAGAGTTTTAGGGAGAAGAGGTAAGTCAGTCGACGAGGTTGTGAACCTTCATCGACTGAGATGGTTGGGACACGTACTACGTATGCCTAGTCACCGATTGCCTCGTCACACAATGTTGGCTGAGGTGGGTTCAGGCTGGAAAAAGGCCCGAGGTGGCCAGACTAAAACATGGCACCAATGTATGAAGTCTCTGACTGTTGGTTTAAGCCATGTAGGACGATGCAGACTAGGTGGTTGGGGTCCACGGGACAAGAGGAACCAGTGGTTGGAGACCCTAGGTGATATGGCTCAGAACCGAAGTCAGTGGCGCAGATGTATACACACATTATCCTCATCTTAACAACGCTATACCGAATCTCACTATTTTGTCACTCCTCTTTCCTTTCTTCTCATACTTTATATTTCTTTTGACTGCATTCACTTATCTTCATCCTTCACCTCACTACCTTTTTACTTGATGTGCTGATATGAGGTGTGGCAACTCGGACCGTTACGCAGTAATGCCTGGTCCTATGTTGATAATGATGATGACATACATACATACATACATACATACATACATACATACATACATACATACATACATACATACATACATACATACATACATACATACATACATACATACATACATACATACATACATACATACATACATACATACATACATACATACATACATACATACATACATACATACATACATACATACATACATACATACATACATACATACATACATACATACATACATACATACATACATACATACATACATACATACATACATACATACATACATACATACATACATACATACATACATACATACATACATACATACATACATACATACATACATACATACATACATACATACATACATACATACATACATACATACATACATACATACATACATACATACATACATACATACATACATACATACATACATACATACATACATACATACATACATACATACATACATACATACATACATACATACATACATACATACATACATACATACATACATACATACATACATACATACATACATACATACATACATACATACATACATACATACATACATACATACATACATACATACATACATACATACATACATACATACATACATACATACATACATACTTACATACATACACATATACTTATATTTAAGAGTAAAAGTTAGGCAGTATAGTAGACGAAAAGACACCTAGTCAATATTTTCACGGGATGTAATTTCTTTTCATGTCCCCTCGGTTTTACCCCCCGAAAATGTTGAGTAGGATAGATAAACTAAACAATGTAGCAGAAAGCATTCATGTGTTAGGTTATTTGTTGAAGATACTTCACAGTGGAAAAGTATCATATACCAGAGAATTCAGCGCTCGTAATGATATAAATTGTCATACTTACACAATCACAACTGAATATCACAGGATGAACCAATGAATAATACGATTTTACATTCTTCAATCGTTTACTTTACCATATTACCTATCATTTACAATTGAAATGATATGTAATGTTTCACAGTCATACGACAATAAAATGAAAAACCTGAATACATGGTACGTATGAAATGCAATAGTGGTAGTAATATAGAACAAAAATATGAAATATACAATTGAAGTTTCAATGCTGACCGCTAGTGAAAAGTAATTCTCCAGTATATATGTCAAGCCAGTTAATTAATTACTGAGAGGAAAGAATAAAATCGAATAACTAAACCGTTATTCATGTAATTTTTACACCCCTGGCAACCCTTTCATAGGTCTACTTGGAGCGACTTCAAAGGCCATCGTGACAACCACTTAACGTTTCTCTATTTTCAGAAAAATTACAATCCCAATTGAAATATGGAAGTGTGATTGGTTATCCTATAGTGACTAGAGTGTCCTTTAAAGTTACTCGTAAAAACAGAATAAAAGGTGAGAATAAGCCTAACATATACAGAAAATAACAATACTAGGGTAAAAATCATAGATATAAATAAATTGGCAGTTATTTATTTTTTTATACCTTGAGATCACATTCAACAATGGTGCCATTTTGTCCCCCAATAAAAGCAACTAGTGTTGCAGGATTAACAGCCATATCAATAACAGCTGATGTGCGGCCACCAAAAGCATGGAATTCACCAATTTTGATATTACCCTTGGATGACGACAGCATATTTAAAACACTTGATGAAGTAGATTCTGCCTGAATAGCAGAATAATCTTTATCAGATTCCAGCTTCGCTTTCACAGGATAGGAATTTTTACCATCAGATTTCCTTTGTTGATCACAGTTTTCATCATCAGACGATGTGAAAGAGGAAGATGATGAGGAGTTACGTGTTTTAATTGTTTGACTTGCACTTCGAAGGCTACGTACGGAGGATATTTGAGGTAGACATGAAACACTGGAAACCCCGGATACACTGGATTTGATGCTAACAGTATGATTTTCAGGAACATGTGGTGATGGTTCTTTCATCGTTGATGTCACGTAGATATCCGGTTCACCTTTCATTGGTATAGAGGGAGTTTTATCTGAAATATACAAAGAAAACTAATTAGTTTGCAAAAAGTTTCTTATATAAAAAAACAGTAGTGAATACCTATTCTTTAATAACATATGTACTCACTTTATGGTGAAAATAGCAAACTGCATAAACATACCTTCAGCAGGAACCGTGGGACCTTCAGTCGGTCTTATCTGGGATGACTGTCCCAACGTTACGGCATTAGGATTAAATGCATTCGTAGAAGTTTTAGCTGCTGCCTGCTTCAGCATTTGATCGACTTCATCGAAAGTGAACTGCCAGCTGTCAGGTGACTGAAGAGCTTGACGTATCAAAGCTAAACGCCCCAAATCAACAGGATTAGAACTTGAACTGACAGGTACTGAGTTCAGAAGACCAGAAATTGTTTGGTGCGGTTGTACGGAGGCATCAATGTGTGAGATACTAGATGCTGCAGGTGTGAGACTAGTTTCTGAAGCCAGGGGCGAAGAGGTAAAAACGTTCCTACTCTGTTGAAAATCTAATTTACAGAAAGATAGTTATGGAAAAGATAAGTTTATCTAAAATACGAGGATATGATGAAGAAACAGTAATTGATTCTATTATTATACTATTGAAATCACTGGGAATACACATAATAGTTCACAAAATTAGCAAATCCAAGCCTTTGTTTATGGTAACAAGTTTATAACAAAGAACAAATGGATACAGAAAATAAGCTCACCAGATTGTTTGCTACTTATTGCATATGAAGACGCGTCAATTTGCTGTTTGTTTTCTGTCTTCGGGTTATATAAATAAGCACTTTGATCAAATAACTGAGCATCAACAGGTGCATCTAAAGGGGCTATAGAAGCAACAACTTTAACATTTGGTCTCTGTGCTGGCAGGGTGATATTACGTCGTGTATCAATTAGCTCAGAGCGTGAACTATCTGCATGACTTTCAGCCTCAGAATCAGAATGATTAATTCCTGGGTTAATGAACGGGAAAAAAAACACTACTGATTACAAATTAGTTACTTGAATGGATTAATTCGTCAGGATTATAGGAGAAAATTCATTAAGTTTATCATCAGAGAACTCAGTTTAATGAATTATCACTTATATTCATGCATGTAATTGATGGCTAAATTAAGCATTGCTTGATGAGTAGACTGACATTTTCGATAAAGACCCAATTAAAAAACAATCAAGAAAGTTCAGTTATGTCAACAGTTTACATCAACAAAAAAATATTGATCATGAAATACCAGTTACCCAACAAACTAACAGATTATTCTCTTCATATACAAGAGATCAAGTGAGACAATAACCAGCTGAATTATATTCAAAAACAATTGTTGATGTAATGCCTGGACAACAGTGGTTAGACTACTTGAAAAAAATTGTCATCAAATGATACGTAGAGACAAAAAAGTAGCTAATACGGGAGTTATCAAGTCGTGATCAGATCATGATTTTTGCACGCGCTGACATGAGGACCTGATTGGAGGAATTCGACCTCATACAAGAAATCTGATTGGTTCATTTATGGTTTCACTTTCTGAGAGTTTTGTAAATACATATATGTCATGTATTTGCCTAATAAAAGTTGTCGCTGTTCGTGCAGTCACAGGCTGTCTTTGTCTTCTGATTTCTCCGCAGCTCAGTGAAGCAGAAGGTACTGAAGGAGGTCAGTCGTAACGGTATTTGGCTGAGGTGTCTATTGAGTCTCAGCATTCCTTATACCCACGCGCGCAACCCCACCACTCGGTCGCAACAATCAGCAGGATCAATCATTCTTTTTTTTTGGCAACCGCAAAATCGAAGTGTTTTTATTCCATATAAACCAAAATTACATCACTACCCGATGTAATATTCTTTACACTGGAAATGATGAACGTTAATTCTGATATAGATAAATATTCGTAGCATTGCTAATGTTACAGCTAAAACATATGATACAGGGAATGTAGTACTCTGATTGTTTGTTGACACTTATGATTCTCCATTGTTATACAGGATTGAATCAATCGACTACTATTGGTGTTTGGGCTACTATGCGGATGCATCGATATTACCTGAATATTCATTGTTATGAATGACTTGACTATGACTAGCAGTGGAAATCAGGACGCATGTTTCGTCCTGTTCGGAACTTATCAGCTGGATGAGTTTACACCCCAGAGGGTGATGCTGTTCCCACTTAGACTCGAACCTCATACTCATTGCCTCAGTGGATAAAGCTTTGGCATCTGAAGCAATGGGTACCGAGTTCCAATCTCAATGGGCACGACATCACTCACTGGGGAATGGGTACATCCAACTGACGAGTCCTAAGCAGGACGAAACATACTTTGTGGATTCATCTGCTAGCCACAACCAAGTCAATCGCAACACTGTTCAACTCAATTTATTTAGGTTAATGAAAGAACCACTAACTATGTGAGAGGTAAGGTTACAGCATAATTTCTTTAATAGTGAGCTTGAAAAATAACTGCAAGCATCAGTTTATGAAGTCTCTAATTGATTCGTGGAGGGAAATGAACATTTCCAAGTTGAGATCCATATGACAATTGAAATCAATGGCTAGGGACTGTATATAGCATGGTTAGCAAAGGATCGAAGGAAGAGGTGCAGATGCATCCATATATCATTTTTATCATACTTCATTCTTTGCCATCTCTTCTTTTTGACAACTTTTGATGACTTTTCCACCCATTTCGGCCTCTCATTTTATTTTCTTGTATCTCAGTGTGCTGATATGAGGTATGATAACTTGAATTTTTGAGTAGTATTGCCAGATCTCATGTTGATATTGACCGAATCAACTAACTGAAAACAACTTGTACACTACCCAACTCTAGAATAAAATATACATTACAAGAATAACGAAATGATCAGTTTGTGTCACAGAAAACAATATGAGATGATAGTTCATTAAATCGACAAAGTATTTCGCAACAAAAATATATGAAACCTACCTCGTAGCAGACTGGATCGCTCCTGCTTTAATTCACGTCGTTTGGTTCTCACCTAAATTGGAATTTTGATTATAAACACGAAATTAAGGCCGGATAAAATCAAAGTTACTCACAGACATTAAATTTTTACTAATCTACGCGTCAAAGCATAGAGTTAACAAACGAAAAAAACACAGTGAGGCGGATATAATAATATCCAGTGATCATGAAGCACCATAAAAATAAAAGAAGGAAAAAAGTAAGATAGAACAAAGGCAAATGAAACGAAAAAAGAAACGCATTTAGCAACCTTGTGAGGTATGCAATGAACTACACCTAATGTGTGACGGGGCTAGTAATACTACAAGGTTCCTCAAACTGGGGGTACGTGAAGCAGGGTTCGAACACGTGACACACTGAGTTCAAGATTTAAGAGAAAACATGAAACAGAAACCGATTTTAAACCCTATCATCTGAAGTTCGCAAAAATTCATTTCGGTTATCTTACAGATGTAAATCAAAAAGCCCACACATTCCAAATTTAGAAATTCTTAACATCAGGTGAAAATACTAACTCATATCTAGAGTCCATATCATTAGTTAGACTAGAAAAGTTATTTTGTATGATTCGGTAATCAGTCACAAGTAGTAATTACTCTATCGATCATCACCTTGCCCCATAAAATAACAGGAATACTTCCGACTTTGATGCCTTGGAAGTCAGTAGACTTTAACTAGTATAAGACACAGTTGTGTGTATATTTCCCCATCAAATAGTGGTCTGTGGTGATGAATCTGAATGTCATCCTTAATCCACGATGATCTACCTAAACCATGTAGTTTCGTTAAACAAATTACAAGCTAGGAGAAACTCTACATAATATATCACTTTATTCACAGTTTAACCACGTCCATCCATTCATCCATCCGAAACAACATAGGACCAGGCATTACTGCGGAACCGTCTGAGTTGCCATACCTCACGTCAGTTCATCAAGTAGAAAGGTGGTGAGGTGAAGGATGAAGATAAGTGAATGCAGTCAAAAGAAATATAAAGTACGAGAACAAAGGAAAGAGGAATGACAAAATGGTGAGGTTCGGTATAGTGTAGTTAAGATGAGGATAATGTGTGTATACATCTGCGCCACTCACATCGGTTCTCAGTCATATCACCTAGAGTCTCCAACCACTGGTTTCTCTTGTTCCGCCGACCCCAAACACCTAGTCTGCATCGTCCTACATGGCTTAAACCAACAGTCAGAGACTTCATATATTGGTGCCATGTTTTAGTCTGGCCACCTCGAGTCTTTTTCCAGCCTGGACCCACCTCAGCCAACATTGTGTGATGAGGCAATCGGTGACTAGGCATACGTAGTACTTGTCCCAACCATCTCAGTTGATGAAGGTTCATAACCTCATCAACTGATTTACCTCTTCTCACTCCCTAAAACTCTACACCTGACTTTTGCATTACTCACGTGGTGACACCACGGAATACGGCGGCCTATACTACGAAGGCAGCGATGGTCAGACACCTGAAGCCTTAGGTGGCGCAAATTGGCAAAAGTAATCGAGCCTTTTGTATCCGTACAGAGATCTCATCGGCAACTAACCCACCAGGGTTGATCCTACTTCCCCAGGTAAGTGAAGTGGTCAATACACTCAACCACTTCACTCTCTATTGTTAGCATAAAAAGTAACAATATTGAGAAAAACCTATCATTATCAGAGATACTTTATACTTACCAAATTCAATTCAGATTCAATATTTCGCAGTTGCTCTTCCAGTTGATTCTGCTTTAATTTAAGTGATTGGAGTTCTTGAGAAACTATCAAAGCTTTTTCCATGCACTGAAGTTCTGCACATTTACTTGTACTCTCACTTGCAGAAATAGTCACACTAGACCTCTGAGGAGTCAATGGATGAGTAATCACTTCAGAATAAGCAGGAATCCCAGTCTCTATCATATTTTTCGCTACAACAGAACTACACTGAGTGGTAGTAGAGTATTTACTTCTATTTTTTCGACACAATTTTTCAGATGACCGTTTTGATGTATTTGAACTTTTAGCTTTTGAATTTTTGTTTACTTTTTGTACTAGTTTTCCATTTTTCAAAATATTTACTGATTCCTTATGAATAGTTTCTAGCTGTAACAAGAATAACAAATAATAACCTTCGTAAGAAAGTAGTCATTCAGAAAACAACAAACGTTTGCCATAAATTTCAGTCTTTGATTGATAAGTTTAACTACTGCAGAATATTTGTAGCTCAGATGGATAATCTTGGTTGTGTTGTGGTCTCTAAGATGGGTGGTTTAATCGCGAAGCTTTCAGACACACAATGTACGGGTTAATTGTAGAAGCAGTGATCTAGAGACTGAAATCCATCATGTTACCACCTGTCATCAAATCAAAACTTTGGATCCGTTTTGTGGATACTTTTATCATCATTAAGAAAGATGATTTCGAAAACACTAACATCTAGATCAACAACGTTTATAATGACATCAAATTCACAATTGAGGTGTTGAACAACCAACTGTTTTTCCTGGATGTTTCAAACAGTAGAACAAATGCGGGAAAAATGGAAGCTCAAGTGTACAGAAAGTCAGACGCACACTGATCAGATCATCAATTACAGTAGCAAAAACCAACAATACATAAAATTGGTTGCCGGCTGACTCTTCAAAAGAACGAGAATACACTACAGTACAACAACTTCATGGAGAAACGAAGAAAAACGGTTACCCACGAAACTTCATCAGAAAATGCCTATCCCGTGCATCATCAACCACAATGTCCTCGACAGAAATCAACAGACGCATCAACCTATCATGCATAAACAATATATCAGAGATCACAACTAGATTACTAAGACCACTTGCAGCTGGTGTGGCTCATCAGCCAACAATTTACTTTCAAACCATAGTATCCAGACCAAAAGATACATCAGTCAAAGAAGACAAGCCGAATATCATTTACAAAGCAAACTGAAATGATTGTGACCAATACTACGTTGAACAAAGTGGTCGTTCTCTCCGCCTTCATCTACATGAACACCAATCACCTGTTTAAAACATCATGACATTTAATCGTTCATTTCAATGCACGTGGATAACAACTATGCTCATGAATTCAATTTTGAAAATGTAGAAATCTTGGATAGATGAAACACAAAGAATATTAGACAACAACAAGAAGCTTGGCATACAGGTCGGTCAATAATCAATACAAGCAATGTACAGATATAGAATCAATCTATCAATCAATAAGAAGGATGATGAACAACAGAAAGGTCAGAGATCAGACAGGGAAAACACCAACAAGAAAATCTATGCAGTCAATGATACAACTGTCAGAGGAAACAACCAATCAAAAACTAGTTTTTCAGGGCAAGCTACTGAATCACTCACGGAGAGATATTGAGAGCTCACTTCATATTGAAGTTAGTGCTGATGATGTCGTCTAAAAATACAATGAAAGCTTCACGATTAAACCACCCAGCTCACAGAACACAACATAATCAAGTTTTAACTGCCTTATAATAACTAAAAATGGCTGTTAACCCATAGGAAAGAAAAAAGCACACCTTTACATCTTAAGGAAATATGTGGTAGTTATTCTAAAGCAACAACTTACAATATTCAACATCATTCCACCTTCAAGTGCAGTTGAAGTACGTGTAGTCTTTGGTTTTTTGGAAGGCTGGTTGGATGAAACAGGTTTATCACGTTTTCTATCCCCCGTAGATTGAAGACAAACAGATGGGCGTTTCTCAGATAGTATATTAGAGCCATTAGTGTCTGCTTCAGCTTTTTCACCTGTTCAAATCATAAGTAGTACGATTAAAAAAACTGCAATATTTCTGTGACAAATGTTAAAAAGTAATTCGACGCTTACGAAGACTGACATCCAAAACGTGAAACTCCGCAAAACCTTATGGTATTTCATCATGAAATCGTATTCACTAGTGTTTCATCTAGTACAAGCAACTACATGCGGTAATCAAAGCACTTGTTCATTAAAGAACCTATTATGTAAATGTCCGAACACCATACAACCGAAAACAATATTGTAGATCGACGCTTTTTATCTTCTGAAAACTATGAAGTATACATAAACTCCAAATTTGTGATGCGACCATAGATTGAATTACATCTGTCCACTATTTACACGAAGGGCTGTTATGTTTGACCCAAATTCAAGGATAGATACAGACTTTAAAGGTAGTTTAACCGTTTATCAAAGTGCTGAGGTGATAGACGACATTCACAAAACTAGGTGGAACATTCAAAGAAATATGATATACACCCTGGTCGCCAAGATCATAAGTTTTTCACAGGAACGCTGAGCCCAATAGCTCAAAATCAATATATATAATCTTAACTAGACTAATTCAATACGAATAGGAATAGAATGCCTGAATAGTGACTCAATTAGTTACGTACAATGCAGTTTCCTGACCCAGTCACTAAAATATCACAAGGTGGAAAGGAAAGAAAATGAACATAAATACATGTGTATTTATAGGTTTTGACACAACAACTATGCCAGTTGAACAGAGTGCCAATATTTGAAGTCAAGTTAAAGTTTTAAAGAGGATTTAGAGATTTTAAAAAAAGTATGGTTAGGGACGACTTGTCGGTAAATTCGGGCATAGTTTTCGGCAAATAAAGATACTTTCCCAAATATATCATGCTGTTTAGAAGCAAAAGCCATTGAGATGAATGCTCATTTATATCAGAAACGAACGTCATGGTAACTGACTTGACATTATCAAAAGCGGATTGTTACACAATTACTGACTCAGTTGGATAACACTTACTGTTATGCTCCCTTTGTTTTTAGAACACAAGTAGTGGCTGTTGTCTTAGCTGTAGTGTTCTCTGAGCTGGATTGTTTAATCGTAAAGCTTTCATCGTCTTTCTGGACGACATCATCAGCACTAACTTCAGTTGAAAACAAAGTATAAAATTACGTATTTTGAAGAGTAACATTTCACAGTAACAATTCTGTGATGTTCAAACAACTTTAGTATAAGTACACTGAAACAAGCATAGTTTATCGATGATTACTAGTTGCAGGTACGGAGGTTTCAAATAACATCATGTACAGGATACTTCAGTCGATCATGCGAATGAATCACTGGAATAAATTATAATAACCATAAATGGTGGTGTATCATATCCTACATTAAATGGGAGCTGGCTAAAACTATCAGCATCTACAGTGTATAAAAGACAAACGCGGCATTTCAGAAAAAAAATGTTAAGGACACTGAGTGTTACACATTTTCAGAGTATAATTTGATTGTGTATATAAGTGATGATAACTTTTTAGTAAATCAATCTAACCAATGTAATCTTGTCACTAAATCTCATCTTCAAGGTGAATAGTTCTTTCTAAAGTCCTCCTCGAGACCAATTAAAGGATCTGAAAGGGTACATTTTACTCGAACACCTTCACACTAATAACACCAGGAGGTCAAGTATAAATTATTCTGTTCCAAGAAGGTAAAGTCAGTCAGCATCAACGTGAAACCTGGCATTACTGAGTAACAGTCCGATTTGTCACAACTCACATCAGCACGCCAAGGTAAACGCACCAACGTGGAAGATAGCAAAATTAAATAAAGGTAATCAAAAGTGGTGGGAATTCGTGAACACAACAGGAAGGAATGAAAAAAACAATTCAATTCCGTATGACCATTGCGATGAAGATAGCATATGTATGCATCAGTGCTATCATCTAAGAGGTTAAAACGAAGCAATGACTAAAAATCTTTCTAGCTGACATGTATGTATGGTTACGAAGCCGCCATCATTCTTACTAGAAGTTACATTTCATATAAATATGTAAACACCATAAAACAATCTACATTTACTCGTTTTTTCCCCACTACTTCTGGGAAACAATAAAACGGTGAAAATCACAACACATACACAAATACTACAAACTATTACTTTATATTTATTTGTCTGTTTTAATATGATAGTGAAAAAGCAGTTAATGGCTTGAATAAACAGAATGTAGCGTGGTTTCCTTCATAACAATTTCTACAAAATAAACACTTCAACAAAATAAGGATGACACAACTATGTATCAAAGAATTGATAAATAAAACATACTTCTTTGAGACTCATTGTGATCGGTTTGTGTTGGATCTAGGACAGAAACAGTCTGATCGCTGAAAAACAAATAAAAGTACCACATTTTAGACAAATAGCTCATCTAACAAATATGTAGTACATGATAATTTGTGAAGTTCTATTTTTTTGTGACATCGTTTTACGTAAATGCATTTGCATACAGCTTTGCATCGGGTATTAAAAAGTCAACCGAAAGAAGATAGTCCACGTGGAACCTATTTACACCCGTATACAATGTGTACAATTAATTACCAAAACTACTCTGCTTCTTCTAGTAATTGAAATCATTTTCAGCTTCTTCAATCATATCTACTGATAACGCTTTACCTACTTCAAACCAAGAAACCAGATAATCAGTAGTTATCACCAAGGTTGGGCATAGGGCTAGCAACCCTACACCGTAAAACAAATCTAACCGCTAAAGAAACTTTAAAGCACAAACAAAATATAAAAAATAATAACAAACTTATTCCTCACTAGAATCGGAGAGGCGAAATGACGCCAGTTGGTGAAAGCCTTCGGGAAGCCAATTGGCCTGGCCGATGTGTCTTCTCTCTCGATGAAAGCGGAAGTAAACGTGGGACATGGAATGTCCGCACCATGTTTGAACCCAGCAAGGCAGCCCAGATTGCAAACGAGATAAGAAGGTATCACATCGAAGTGCTTGGGATTTGCGAAAGCAGATGGAATGGTAGTGGACTCTCCAAACTGTCAACTGGAGAATCAATAATCTACTCCGATATTGTCACCCAGACGACAACCACGAGCACACTGAGTTATGGAGTGGCTATCATGATATCCCCTTCAAGATCATCGAAGGCTCTCATGCAGTGGGAACCAATCTCCTCCAGTATCAGGATCATGAGAGCAAGATTCAACTCAAAAGGAAGGAAGGAAGGAAGGTCACAATCATACAATGCTATGCACCTACAAATAGTGCAGAGCAAGAGAAAAAGGAGGAATTCTACAGACAACTTCAATCAACACTGGACAAGACGTCAGTTGGCGATATCAAGATCCATTCTAATGGGCGACATGAATGCCAAACTGGGAGGGGACAACAAAGGAAGAGAACTAACCATGGGTCGAGAAGCACTAGGTGAGGTGATGAACGACAATGGAGAATTGTTTGCACAATTCTGTGCATTCAACGATTTGGTAATTAGAGGCAGTGTGTTCAAGCACAAAGATATCCACAAGGCGACATGGATTTCACCAGACACCACACACACTAAAAATCAAATCGACTTTATCTCAATCTCAAGAAAATGGAGACGCAGTCTACTTGACACAAGGTCAAGAAGGGGAGCAGATGTAGGTTCAGACCACTCACCATCTAGTGCAAGGAACCTTCCAAATCAAGTTGAAAGCCTTCAAGGAAGCTGGTGATAGACCTCAGTTCAAGTACAACACTCGGAAGCTGAAGGATGAAACTACAAAGGAGATCTTCACGTCAGCCATCAAGACAAAATGGGAGATATCGAGGAACATCCCTGAAGAAACCTGTGTGGAAGAACAGTGGAAGTCTTTGGAGGAGATGTGGAGAGAAACCTACACAGCCGTATTAGGAAGGAAGAAGAAAGAAGACAAGGAATGGATCTCGACGGACACATGGAAGCTGATAGACCAGGAAGAGGAGGATGGTGAAGCAGAAGATAAACCAGTGCAAGCATGAACGACGAGAAGAGCAACTAAGTACAATGTATAAAACACTACACTGGATGAAGAAGTAAAGAAGAATGCACGGAAAGACAAAAGACACTTCTACGACACATTGGCAAGTGAAGCAGAACAGGCTGCAGGTAAGAGAGACCTGACAACATTGTATCAAATAACCAGGTTGCTATCTGGAAAGAGATCAACACAGATGAAACCAATAAAAGATGATAACGGAAATTTAATTACCAAAGAAGAGAAACAAAGGAAACAATGGGCCGACCACTTCAAGAAGCTCTTGAATCGACCACCATCGCCACCTGCACTTCGTCCAGAAATATCACCTGCACCGCAGCCGCTGAACTACAAGTGAACATAAATCCTCCAACAAAAATGGGAGTCCTGAACGCCATAAAGCTACTGAAATGTGGGAAAGCAGCAGGACCAGATGGGATCCCGCCAGAAGCACTGAAAACAGACGCAGAGACAACAGCAGACATACTCACACCACTATTGCAGAAGGTGTGGAAGGAAGAGAAGGTACCTGGCTAGTGATTGGAAGAAGGGTTGCCTTGTCAGACTGCCGAAGAAGGGAGACCTCAGTGTTTGCAAGAACTGGCGCGGAATCACTCTCCTGTCCACCCACACCAAGCAAAATCTTAAGCCGCATCATCCTGGAGAGACTAAAGGATGCACTGGATTCAAAACTACGACCGGAACAGGCTGGCTGGCAGGCTTCAGGAAGTACAAATCATGTGCGGACCGAATTGCAACGCTTCGCATCATCATAGAACAGAGCATAGAATGGCAGTTGACTCTACACCTCAACTTTATCGACTCTGAGAAGGCCTTTGACAGCGTCGACTGAGAGGTAATTTGGAAACTGCTTCATTACTACGGAATACCACAAATCTTCATAAACCTCATTCAGCAACTATATGAAGACGCCACATGCCAAGTAATTGACAATGGGAAGCTCAGTGATGCTTTTGAAGTGAAGACAGGGAGGAGTGAAACAAGGTTGCCTACTATCCCCCATGATATTGCTGATTGTGGTCGACTGGACTGGATCAGGCAGCAAACAGTGGGGAGCTGTGAGAAGAGGGGGATACGCTGGCTGGACTGCGGAAAAGAACCTAGAAGATCTGGATTTCGCTGATGACTTGTGCCTGATGTCACATAAACTTGAAGATCTACAGGCAAAAACTAACAAGTTGTCAGAAGAGGCAGGGCAGCGAAGACGGGACTTCAAGTGAATATGGAGAAGACAGAGGTGATGAAGATACCCAACCAACAACTCCAACAACAAACTCCAGTCACCATCAACGGGAGAAACTTAAAGGAAGTAACCTCCTTCACCTATCTAGGCATGCAGCACTGTTTCAACTACAGGTGGCACAGACGAGGATGTCAAAGTCAGAATCAGAAAAGCAAGACAGGCGTTCATTAGCCTGAAACCAGTGTGGAGATCTTCTGCACTCAGCATGTGGAACAAGATCCGAAGTTTCAACACCAACGTCAAGTCAGTGCTTCTGTGTGATGGTTGAGAGACTTGGCGCGTCACGAAAGGGATTTCCAATAAACTACAGACATTCATCAACAACTGCCTATGCTGGCTCTTTACTGAAGATCAGATGGCCAGAAAGAATAAGCAACAAGGAGCTCTGGGAACGAACCAACCAAGAACCTATCGCTCAACAAATATGCAGGAGGAAGTGGAGATGGATTGGGCATGCACTGAGAAGGCCGACTGGGGACATCACGCGTCAGGCCAGGCACTAGAGTGGAATCCCCATGGGAAGCGACGAGTTGGACGTCCGAGGGTGACATAGAAGAGGTCGTGCGAGGAGGAAATGAGAGCTTCTGGGCTGTCGTGGAACCAGGTTCAAAAGATCTCAGAGAACAGAGGTCACTAGAGACGTGCTACTGAAGCCCTATGTTCCACTAGGAACCCAAGGGACTAATAATAATAATAATAATCACCAAGATGAGATCTGGCATCAAGGCGAAACAGTCCATGTTGCTACAACTTGCTTCAACATACCAAGATAAAAGACAAAAATCAAACAAATGGACACAACGCAACCAAAACTCGCAAAAAGCTATATGTTGAAAAGAGGGGTCAAAGTAAATAACGAAATGTGGTACAATGGTTAAGACCAAGCTAAAGTACAGATGCAACTGTGCCACCAAGATCTTTTCTGGATCATATCAATTTGAGTCAAGTTTTATTCAGACCACCCTTAACTTTTACCCAGAATAACCCTTCTTCGACTAATAAAGCGCGTTGATGATGAATTATCAGGCATACGTAACAGAAACTCTAGCCACCTCAGTCGATCAACATTAAGAGACAGCACTCGATGTAGACAACTCATCTGATAGCTTACAACGCAACCTACCACGAACACAGTTGTTCGAGTGCGAAATTGTCAGTGGGATAGTGTGCTTACTGAATATCTCTCACAAAGAGATATCATACTTAGATCGCTTGATCAATGGAGCCGAATGGCTTCATCAAGTAAAAAATACAGCTAATATAAGAGGTTGTAAGCATGCTCATGTTTCAAGATCTAGTCGATGTACCCACGACCAGGTATGAAACCCGTCTAGTTCTCTCAGGTTTGCTGTTCCTGAGCCCCATGTAGGCATCTGATGGCAACAGAACCCAGGATCTTAACAGGATGTTTGTCAGATTGATTCCCCTATGCTTATCACAGAAAGACTTCTTTGCTGAAGACTGGGACAGACTGATTAAGACCAGTTAGAAAGGATCATACTTCAATCTCCACGCTAGATAACACTATTTATTTGAATCAATAAGCCTTAACCACCGTCTTCAAATACCTCTGGTACTAACCCATTTGACCTGGATACCCTCCTTTGTTTCAGATTACTTATGGCCTTATTAAATTCTACAAGAGTTGGAGGCCCTATCTCATTGTCTTATTCATATGATTGGATGGTGTGTAAATGAAGATCAATTGGAGGTCAGTTGAACTGCTACTCAAAGTGCTCAACCCAATATTGCAGTCATTTCCCCAGTGATTGAATCATAGACCAATCCTACTCAGTATGGTTTCACTAACAGCTGATATTTTTTTACTTAGTTTCCATATCCCGAAATAACTGTCTACTATTACCTAGTACCGATACCTTCCTTACCACCCACCACTGCTCAAGATCACTGCGTAGACTCTATCAATCTACATTTGAGTTGCTTTCGGTCCTCATTGTCTTCATAGCCTTCTTGAATACATTTATGTTCATCCACCAATTCCGACGAAGTTGATGAGACCCATTGAACATTTTTTACCTTTTGGGGGTGTATATTGATCATGGTCTTGACTTCTACCCTACAGCTCAGAGTAGATAAATTTTA